CAGCAACTTGTCTGTTCCCCTTCCCCCAATTCCCCAGCACTGTTCCCATCCCCCCAATTCCCCAATAAAAATCTTAAAAAAAAAAAAAAGTCTGTGAATAGATCATTTTGTTCACTCCTACCTAAGGTCCTCATAGCAGCAAAAAGACTAGTAATGATTCTTCATTTGGGAGAGATCTTTTAATACACAGTATCACATCTTCCTATATAAAAAACATTTTAAATCACAAAAAGGATGACTTAATGCTAGTAATGATATGCAAATACATTAAAAAAATAGAACTGGAATTTTTGAGAAGTTAATTATGGGCCAGATTAGGGGGAAGTAAACATCCACACCAGTGGTTTTCTGAATCACCTCCTGTAGGATACAACACATACTTAAACCAAGAAGTCTTTTTAACACACAGACCAAGATTGGACATCCTCCATGGCTGGGCTTGCTGGTGTCTGCACCATGAGAATTGGATTTCTAAGGTTGCTGGCAGGTAGGTAGAATTATAACAAAGATAATAGACAACTAAAGCTATCTGCGCACTCTCTACACAGTTTGAAAGTATTGTCTGTTTTTTACCTGATATCTGGCTTGTTTGCTCAATATCTCTATAAGGTACAAAGGGAAAATTTTTGAGGATATTAGCTCATTTATAGTAAATCCCAAAGGAGAAAGTCAGTGAAACTCATTGCTAGGGCAAACTTGGGAATGTAACAGAGAGTTTTCATTTTACTGTACTTGTGTTAGTTCAGTTTCACCAGAGAAACAGAACCAATAAAATGGAGAGAGAGACAGACCGGCAGACAGAGACAGAGACAGAGACAGAAAGACAGAAATTTTAAGGAATTGGCTCATGAGAATATGAAGTTTGGAAAATACAAAATCCACAGGACAGCCCAGCAGGCTGGAAAACCAGGAAAGACTTGATGTTACATCTCAAGTCCGAAGGCAGTCAGTCTGGAAGCAGAATTCCCTCTCCCTCAAGGAGGTCACTCTTTGTTCTCTTAAAGTCTTCATCTGATTAGATGAGGCACACCCTGATTATGGAAGGTAATCTTCTTTACTCAAAGTCTACCGATTTAAATGGTAATCTCACCTGAAAAACATCTTCACAGCAACATGTACACTAGGGCTAAAACAAATATCTGGGTATCATGGCCTTGCCAAATTGGAACCTAAAATTAACTATCATAACACCTTTATTTTTTCTCAAAAGAATAGATAACCAAACTACCTGAAAACTCTATTGCACTAAAAAAAAACATTGTCCATTTGTCTATAGGTTTTGTGGGAGTCATGGAATGACTTGAAGAACAATAACAGTAAATTAGTAAAAACCAGTATCAGTGAGATTAGCTTAATTCTGATTAGTCTTTATTTCCTTCAGTGCTTATATGTTACCTAGTAAGTTAGGTGTTCTTTCGTTTTTTTAAGATTTTATTGGGGAGTTGGGGGAGGGGAACAGTGTTGGGAAATTGGGGAAATGGAACAGCCAATTTGTTGTCCTTCAGTTTTTTTAAATTTAATTTTATATATTTTTAAATTAGTTTCAGGTGTACACCTGAAGCTGATGTTGTATAATATTGTATGTCAACTATAATTGTCCTTCAGTTTTAGTTGTGGAGGGCGCAGCAACCTCAGCTCCAAGTCCAGTCGCACCACTCAGATCAAGGTGCTGTGTTCAATTAGTTGCAGGTGGGAGTCAAATCAGCAGCCTTGTTAACAGCGCATGCTCTATCCCCTGAGCCACCTGGATGGCAGCTCAGCTCAAGGTGCTGAGTTCAGTCTTTAGTTGCGGGCAGGCATAGCCCACCATCTCAAACAGGCAACCTTGTTGTTAGGAGCATGTGCTCTCACCAGCTGAGCCATCCTGTCACCTGTTGGCAGCTCAGTGGCAGCTCAGCTCAGGCGCAGCTCACTGGCCCATGTGGGAATCGAACCGGTGATGCTGTTGCTCAGAACTTGCACTCTTGAGCTCTTAACTAACTGAGCCACTTGGCCGGCCCCAGGTGTTCTTTATATAGTGTCCTCATTAGTTGTAATTAGTTTCCTGGTTTTTATGAAAATAGCCACATTTCTTATGTGAATTGTGGAGCATGATTATTTTAATGCTGGACACATTTTGGGGAAATCCTGTAAAGGTACACAGACCTGAAAAGATTTTCATAGGGTTCAGGGCTCACATAGATGGGATGACAAACTGTAATAGGTGGTCCATTTATTGCCTGTGGGGTAGATTTCATTCCTCCATACCCATAGTGCTTTCATACCACAAAGCCCATTCAGTGATTCATTTCTCAGGACTGAACTGGGAGATAAAGGGGAGAGGCTGTGCCCTCAGTGCATTATAGAAGGGCCAGGGGTCATTTGGGAGAAGCTGTAGAAGCCATGGGTGCTGTGCCTGGAGAGGCCACCTGACCAGGAGATACTGGTCCTCCCTGCAGCTTCCTTAGTTGTCACTCCTCACCGCTTATCAACTCCCACTCTATGGATTCCAGGGCTCCATGCCCTCCTCTTCGCATCATTATAGGCCTCAGACTTTGGGCTGTACGACTCCAAAATCTATGCTCTATTTGTATGCTCTGAAACTGTATGTTAAACTGGAGTGACCCTGGAAGAGGAATCCTCAAAGCAGATTTCTGCCATTGACAGAGAACAAGGAACGCGGGCCTGGGCAAACGCACAGCAATCTGAGGACTCTTTCCTTTAAGATTTATCCTCTCCATTGGGAAGGCTGGGGTTTCTAAGATGGGTCCCTGTCATCAGCTGTGTGTATGTCCTGTCCTCTTACCTGTAACACCTGAGTCCACCTGAGCACGTGTCTGTTGGTGACTGGCTCCTGGGGAGTCCTGGGAGGTTGAGGGGAAAGGCTTAGTCCTCGATTCCCGGTAAAGTACATGAAGCTGCTGGAAGTGGGCTGCAGGGCAAGAACCACCTACTCAGGAGGCAATGGCCATGCTGGTTGAAATTGGAACTTGACTCTCTTTTCCTTGTCATATCTCTGTTTTATTTGCTCCAGAGCTCTCTGTGCTGCTGTTGTTGCCTTTGGTTGCTGCAACCCTGAACGACGGAGGTGAGTCTGCCCCGACAGCCCCATTAGTGATATGAGCTAGGGAGTGAATGCTGGGGTCTGGGTTCCCTCACCAAGTGGGAGGGAAGGAGGCTTGTTCTGCAAGTAAGGCTCAGAGATGGTCTCATGGAGATAAAAGAAGCTGTTTTTACCTCCCTAAATGCCCAGAGTTGTGTGTCTTTTCCTCTTCCAATAGCAGCCATTCCTCCTTTTCCTCCCCTCTAATCTTGGACCCATAGTTGGCCATGGCTTCACCAATTCCTTGTCTTCTGACCTTGGTTTTCCCCTGCTTCTGCCCCTACAGCCTGTATTCGCTGGTGTCCTCCAAACCCTCCATGTGTCAATGCCAACGCCTGTCTCTGCGCTCCAGGATTCAGTTCTGCATCTGAAAAGGTTTTCACTGGCCACTTGGAGAGCTGTGAAGGTACAGAGGCTTTTGGTGGTGGAGGGGCATACAGAGATTGTAGGGGGAGGCTGTAGGGCATCCAGAGCCCTCACCCCTGAGGGCAGCACAGAAGCGCTTTGTCAAGAATTAGGGAGAGGAGACAGGGCAGGGAAGTGGCAGGAAAGTGGGCAGTCAGGTTTTCATGATCAGTAGGTAGAGTGTTGAAGCTTTCACAGTGCAGCTGGGCTACGTGGGTTCAGAGTCTAGCTCTGCCACTGACTGACTCGCTGACCTTTAGGAAATTATTTCTCCTCTCCTTTGTCTATGTATTGGGGATGATCATTGTACCTACCTCATATGGATGGTGTGAGATTTAATATTTACCTGTATGAAAAAAAAATTAAAGATGAGTACAGGGCAAATTGTCAACAAATGTGAACTATTGTCATTGTTGCTACTGTTATTATAATTATTATTTTCATAGCACAAAGAAAAGAAAGAAATAATGGAAGAGATAGGAGGAAAGAAACACCCAGGGCCTGGAAACTAGGGCTCTCCTACTAGCTTGAGCTCATCAAGAACCCTGCCCACTCACGATCATGGTTTTCCACCTCATCCTCACAGCAGAGCCATGAAGCAAGCAGAGCTAGGATTTCGTTTTCCCACCTTCACACATTTGGCCCACTTTCCATTTCCTACTTCTGGCAATCACCAACCTATTCTCTGTATCTTGTATGTATGTGTTGTTGTTGTTTTTAATTTCATATATAAGTGAGATCATATGGTATTTGTCTTTTTCTGTCTAACATTTTACTTAGCATAATGCCCCAAGGTCCATCCACATTGTCACGAAGGTTAAGAGTCCCTTCTTTTTTATGGCTGAATAATATTTCACTAAAGTTTTTTAGTTTGATGTGGTCCCACTTGTCTATTTTTGCTTTTGGTGTAAGAAAATAAAAAGCCTTGTTTCTGGTGTCAAATCCAAAAATTCATTGCCAAGAGAGATGTCAAAGAGCTAACCCCCACTACGTTTTCTTCTATGAATTTTATGGTTTCAGGGTAGCATCATTTTTTTTTAATTACCAAATTTGGGCTCAAAGAGATTGAATGACTTTTATTCTTCAAGAAAATAGGATCACATGGTTCTTGACTTTTTCTGTCTGGCTTATTTCGCTTATCATAATAATCTCAAGATCCATCCATATTGTTTCAAATGGCATTATTTCATCTTTTCTTATGGCGGAATAGTATTCCATTGCATATATATACCACATCTTTATCCAATCATCTATTGAAAGACACTTTGGTTGTTTCTATGTCTTGGCCACCATAAATAAAGCTGCAGTGAACATAAGGACACATATATCTTTATGGATAAATGTTTTGGGGTAGATACCCAAGAGAGGGCTTGCTCGGTCATATGGTAATTCTATTCTCAATTTTTTGAGGAACTTCCACACTGCCTTCCACAGCAGCTGCACCAATCTGCATTCCCACCAACAGTGTATGAGGGTTCCTTTTTCTCCACAGCCTCTCCAACACTTGTTATTGTCTTGCTGATGATAGCCATTTTAACTGGTGTGAGGTGATAATCATTGTGATTTTTAATTGCATTTCTCTGATGATTAATGATGTTGAGCATTTTTTCATGTGTCTATTGGCCATTTTTATGTCCTCTTTGGAGAAATGTCTGTTCAGATCCTCTATCCATTTTTTAATTGGATTGTTTGCTTTTTGTTGACATGTGGTATATGAAACTGAAAACAACAAAGGAACAAGACAAACAAATGAAGAAACAAAAACTCATAGACACAGACAATAGTTTAGTGTTTACCAGAGGGTAAGGGGAGAGGAGGGTGGTAGATGAGGGTAAAAGGGATCAAATATATGGTGATGAAAGGAGAACTGACTCTGGGTGGTGAACACATAATGTGATATATAGATGATGTATTACAGAATTGTACACCTGAAACCTATGTAACTTTACTAACAATTGTCGCCCCAATAAACTTTAATTTAAAAAATTTAGTATTAAATATTTAAAATTTTTAATATTTAATTTTTTTAGTTTTGATAAAAACTAAAAAATTTCTTGCAAAATTTATTTTAAAGCTTAATCAAATAATCAATTTTTAATCTGTGACACTGTCCTTGTAGCTAATTTCATATATATAATAAGATTAGCACAAATATAAAAAAATAGGATTATAAAAAAATTATAATATTAAAAATGGCTCAAATGGAAAACTTGGTTATGTGCGTTTAGCCACCATAAAAATAGAAGGGGAGTGAAATATTGTTTTTATACCAAGAAATACTCCTCATCTACTCAAAATACTCTTAGATACACATTTATTGGTACTAAATGAAAATGTTCCTAATATGTTTGAAAAGATGAGAAAAATGTACTTCTGAAATTTTCCAGTAGTCTGCATAGTGGACTTATAGGTGATTTCCTTTTTCATTATGTACAATTTATTTGTTTTCTAAGTATGCATATGTTTGTTACTTAATATTTGTGAAAAAGTACATTTTATCAGGAAAAAGGATGTTGTTGTAAGTACTGCCCATGACCCTAGATGTATTTCTAAAGTTTCCCATGTGCGTTTGCATGTGTGTGACTGATGGAGATTTGTAGACTGGATGGGCATGGAGAAGAGATCCTGCTAACGTAAGTGGATCTCAGCTCCTTTCTTTTTTTTTTAAATTATTTTTATTATGAAATACACATTATTTAGAATTAGTTTCAGCTGTACAACATAGTGCAATAATTATACTTTTTACCCCTCGAAGTGACAACCCCACACCCCCAATCCACCGCCCCACTTCCCCCCAATATCATACATATCTATTACAAATCCCTTGACTCCACTCCCACACTATATCTCAGCTCCTTTCTTGAGGAGGCTTGTCAGGTTGAGGAATTTCCCATCGTCATGTACTCTTGTCCTGATACCTTGGTCCCAATTCTACCCAGCTAGATTCCACCCCATCCCATCAAAATTTAAAATGGGTCCCTAGCCATTGTTACCATCTGAAAACAGAGCAGGAAAGACATGTTGTCCAGGTGAGGGCTGAATATGAATGTCACAGATGTGTGTCCCTCACGCTTCCTGTCATATCTTGGTGCTGACACCACAGCCTGGCACCTAGAAGGGAAATCCATCAATTCAGAGAAGAGAACTCTGATCTGGGGGAGACCAGCTGACTGCCTTGACACATCATAACACCATGAATCTTTTCAGGCTTTAAAGTCTTTGGTGCCATAATTAGAATGTTCAAAGTCAAACATTCTGTCCCCTCATTTTGATTCATTTTATGTCCTTGGTTCTTATTAAGTTGTTCTTATAACCTAATGGTGTCCAGCCCTGCTCAGTGGGTCCCTCAGCTACTCAAAAAGGACCTGGCTCATGGGCATCTGTCTCTCATGTTTAGAAACAGGGAGAGATAAGATGCCAGAAATCCCCCCCAATGACTCAGTTGTGAGCGGCTTCCTGCTGCTTCTTCATTTCAGTACCCTACTGCCTTTGATGGTGTGAGGGGGGCTTTTCAGGGGGTGGAGATAGGAAGACTTTCCCTGAGACGTCCTGGGGCATCTGCAAAAGGCCTGACATTGGGAGCTGGGGGAGTGCCTGATGAGGAGTGGGGGGTGCACTTGGGCCACTGTGATAAAAGGGGCATGGAAGCCATCGATGGGCAGGGGCCTGACATCTGACACCTGGCTGTATCCTCAGGTGTGAATGATGATGTCACCCTGGAAGACCTCAGCCATGACTCCCTCCACTGCCTCAGCATAGGGGCAGCCTTCAATGCCACTTGTTTTGACTGAGTCTTTCACCCCCAACCCCCCCCCCAGCCTCCTCCACAGGTTTTCAAAGGTGCAAACAGCAGCACAGAGGAGAGCCTATTGCTGATTCAGTGCCTCCATCTACCCCTCACAGCCTGGAGAAGGAGATGTAGACCTGCTTCCATCCCAATCATGACACAGCAGAGTATCTGAATCTAGGCGTCCTCAGGCCCAGCCAGAGAGCAGAGATGAGCAGAGCAGTCAATAGGCCCTGGAGCAGCTGGCTGTGCCCAGCACAGCCCCAGGAGTGCCACCCTGCACCTATATTTGTCTGGTCTCATGGTAGGGTCTGACGAGGCCAGGGTCTCTGCCCTGTGGGAACTCATGCCTTTGAGAGGTGACCTTTTTTTCTATTGTGTTCCAGACATCAACGAGTGTGGACCAAGCTCAGCAGGGTCCTGTGGAGTGTATTTACATTGCCAGGACTTCATGAAGAGCTACTGCACGTGCAGCCCTAACTACAAACCTGTTTCTGAGGCAATGTTCAGCATTGATCCTGATAAACCTTGTGTTGGTAAGAAGGATCCCGTGTCTTCAATCTCCTCATTCATTAGGTTTGGGATTCTCACCCCTTTTACTAAGCATCATGAGAGTGCCCTGTGCACCTACTTGGTTATCCACCCTCTCTGAACACCAAGGCTCTAATTAACTCTCTCCATTGGGAGAGGTTGGAGTTTCTAACCTCTCTCTATATATAACCTCTATATATATTCTATGTATATTGTAGCACCTGGGGTTCCATGAGGGCTGTGGCTTTCAGTGATTGACTCCGAAGGGAGTCCTGGGAAATGGAGGGGAAAGACTTAGCTCGTGATTCCAAGTAAAGTACAGAAACCTCAGGGAAGCTGCCAGAAAGCTGTAGGCTGCAGGGTTACAGCCACCACCCCAAGGTAGCAATGGCATGTGGAGAGGAATTGAAATTGGATCTCCACTTTCTTAGTTTTATCATCTCTTTCTGCTCCAGGACTCTTGCTTCAGCTGATATTGACATTGGATGCTGCTGATAAAAACCTTAAAGGTGAGTCTGCCCAGCCAGCCCCATTAGTGACATAAGCTGGGGAGTACATGCTAAGGTCTGGGTCCTCTCACCAACAAGGCGGTTTGTTTTGCAAGTGAAGCTCCGAGATGGTTTTCTGGAGATAAAAAGAAGTTGTTTCATCTTCCCTAAACATCCAGAATTTTCTGAGCTCTTCCAAATCCAGTGGCAGCCATCCCTTCCTCTTCCTTTGGACCCCAGCTGGTAGCTGGCTTCTTCCAATTCTTGGGCCTTCTAACCATGGTCTCCGTCCTCACAGCCTCTGCCCCTGAAGACTGTGCTTGGTGGTGCCTTAAGAACTCCGTATGTGTCAATGCCACAGCCTGTCACTGCGTTCAGGGATATAGTTCTTCATCTGGGAAGATCACCACCAGCCTTTTCAAGAGATGTGATGGTACAGGGGCTTGGGGTGGGGGAAGGGCATACAGAGATTGTGTGACATCCAGAGCCCTCAGCTCTGAGAGCAGCACAGCAATATTTTGTCAAGGGTGAGAGGAGACAGGGCAGGAAAGTGGGGGAGAAGGAGCAGTCGGGTTTTATTGATTAGTCTATGAGACCCACTACCCATTTTTAAATTGGATTGCGTAGTTTCTGTTCTGTTGAATTGTATGAGTTCTTTGTGTATTTTGGATGCTAACCACTTATCAGGTATATGATTTGCAAATATTTTCTCCCCAATTGTAGGTTGCCTTTTCATTTTGTTGATGGTTTCCCTTGCTGTACAGATGCTTTTTAGGTTGATGTAGTCCTTTATTTATTTTTGCTTTTGTTGCCTTTGCTTTTGGCATCAAATCCAAAAAAAATCATTACCAAGACTGATGTCAAGGAGCTCACCCCCTGTGTTTTATTCTAAGAGTTTTATGGTTTCAAAGTAGCATGGTTTTTTAAAAAAGATCATAACTTGGCACCAGGAGATTAAGTGAATTATCTAAAGTGATGCAGTTAATATGATGGTAGACCTAAATCCAGTTCTAAAACTAAAGAGTTTTTCTTCTTCAACAATACAAGATCATAAAAGGAAATTTTACTACTTAAAAATGGTTAAGATGGTAAATTTATGTTATGTGCATTTACCACAATAAAAAAGTGTCCCCAAAAAAGAAATTACATGGTTTTACACCAAGAAATTTTCATCATCTACTCAAAATAGCCTTAGACTATATTTATTAGAGCATATTTATTGATAATTTTAAAATATTCCTAATATGTTTGAAATAATGAGAAGAAAAATTCTTAAAATTTCTGAGTAGTCTATGTAGTTGACTTATAACTGATTTTCTTTTTTTGCATTTTCTTTATTTTCTAAGTATCCATATGTTGTTTAACATTGGGCAAAAAGTAAATTTTATCAGGGGAAAAGAAACAAAATGTTACTGTGACTACTGCCAAGCACATCCATGACCCTCAAAGAATGCTTAAAGGTTCCTTTGTGCATTTACATGTGTGTGTTTCACGAAGATTTGTAGATTGGGTGCACATGGATGGAGACCCTACTGCTACTATACTTGGATCACAGCTCCTTCCTGGAGGACCCCTGTCAGTTTGAAGAATTTCCCATCATCATGACCTCCCTTCCCACACATTTCATACCCAACTATTCCCCCCTCGACTCCACCCCATCGCCTCAACCTGGAAAACATGTTTCCAGCCATTGTCACCATCTGAGAACAGAAGTATTCCTCATGCTTTCCCTCTGTCCTGGGGCTGACCCTCACAGCCTGGCAGGGGCCTTAGAAGTGAAATCCATGGGTTCAGAGATGAAACTCTGATCTAGGGGAGACCGGTTGCATGCCCTGACTCATCATAATGCCCAGAGTCCTGTCAATCTCTAAAGTCTTTGCTCTCCTGATGAGTATGTATAGGGCCAAATATTCTGTCCCTTCATTGTGGTTCATTCTTGTATATGTGGTTCTTATTAAACCACTGTTTTTAGCGAGCAGTGTCCACCTCCTGCTTTTCGGGTCCCTGATCTCAAAAGGTGCTGGGTCACAGGTATCTTTCTCTCATGTTTAGAGAACAAAGATAGATAAGATGCCAGAAATCACTCCAGTGATTCAGCTGTGAGCAGCTTCCGGCTCATTTTATATCCTATACTGCCTCTGATAAGGGGGAGGGGGGACCCATCTAAGGGTGGAGATAGCAAGATTTGCCCAGAGATATCCTGAAGCATCTAGAAAAGGTCTGATATATTGATAATATTAGAGCTTGGAGAGTACCTGATGAGGAGTGTGGGGTGTACTTGGGCCACTGTGATTAAAGGGGGTTGGAAGTTAACAACAGGCAGGGGCCTGACACCTGGCTCTTTCCTCAGGTGTGAATGATGATGTCACCTTGGAGAGCCCCCAGCTATGACTCCCTCCACCATCTCAGCATAGGGGGCAGCCTATAATGTCACTGTCACCCTGACTAGAGGCCAACCCCAGGTCCCCTGTAGTGCAAACAACACCACAGGGGAAGTTTTGGAGCTGAATCAGCGCCTCCGTCTACCCCTCACAGCCTGGAGAAGGGGATGCAGACCTGTTTCCATCCCCATCATGACACAGCAGAGTCTGTGAATCTAGGCGCCCTCAGACCCAGCCAGAGAACAGAGATGAGCAGAACAGTCAACAGGCTCTGGAGCAGCTGGCTGTGCCCAGCGCAGCCACAGGAGTGCCACCCAGGAGCTGAGTTCTCTCCACTCCCCATGGCAGGGTCAGGCTGGAGTCCACAGTCTCTGCCCTATGGAAACTTACTCACACCTTAGGGAGGCAACCCTTTGTCCTGCTGTGTTCTAGACATCAACGAGTGTGAATCATCCCCAACAATATCCTGTGGAAAATTCGCAGACTGCCAGAACACGGAGGGAAGCTACTACTGCACATGCAGCCCGGGATATGTGCTCATTTCTGGGGCAAAAATGTTCAGAAATGCAAGTGAGAACACGTGTCAAGGTAAGAACCACTCTATGTCTTCCATCTCCTTGTCCATGAGGTTTGATCTCATTTGCCCCACTTTTTTGAGGCATAAAAAGGCTGTCCTAAGCACCTACCTGGTCACCTGGCCCCTCTGAACCCCAAGACTCAGAACCCTCCACAAAGGATCACTTCTAGATGTTTGGAACATTCCCCTGCCCACTTGGCATCTTATTTTCATAAAAGAAAAGCAAGGGATGACATTCAAGATACATCAGGAGCTCACACTGCATTCATTGTGTTTCAGCACAATATCCCTCCTCTTCACCATCATCAGTGACTGCCAGGATGAGACCTTCCACCACCCACATGGGCTCCAACACTCCAGGTACAATCTCAGACCTCCCAGACAATGATGGATTCAGGGGCCCTGTTCAGGAATGCAAGAGTGGGGAGATTCAAGGGTGGGCCCATCTTCCCCAGTTAGCCCTGTCCCTGACCAACAACCACGGCATCCTGACTCCACTTCTCAGTCGCTCAGCCTCCATCAATTTCCCACAAAAGTGACCTCCCTGGCCCTCCCCAATAATTTCAGTTGACCATTTGAGGACAACTGAGATGAAGAGCGCCCAGAAGAATGTTGTATCCAGTCTGAACAGGACGACATGGACCCACACACGCACACACAAACTTGAAGAGTCTGATAAACGGAAGAGGCTCCCACCTGACAACAGAGGACATTATCAAGGATCATTGCCCCACTGGGGGAGGTACACAGGTCTGTGTCCCTGATGGGAAACCAAGCAGCCAGATGACAGAAACGCCTGCCCATCAGACCCTGCTCCCCTCTCCAGCCAGCCAGCCCTCACCTCTGCTGGCCTTTCTCAGATGTGCATTCTCACCACTTCCTGCCAGTCCTGGAGATGCCTTTTTAGGAATCAGAAAAAGGCACCCAGGGATACCTGGCTGGAAGGTCAGCCCCCAATGTTCAACCTTGACCTGGTGCCACTGTCTAAGTGGCATTGGCCTCTCCAGCACCTACTTTATTCCTCCTGCCCCTGCCTGATAGCCTCATCTTTGGTGGGGCCTGTCTTAGGAGGGGCAATTCTTGGTCCATCTCTATCAAGATGTCTTAGAGTTAGGGGAGTTTATATTGCTCTGAAAGGGTCAATGGAATTCCAAGGAAAACTCAATCAGTGGTCAGCTTCCCTTGGGGAACTTAGGACAAAGGCCATCACAGAACCCCAAGACAGGTCCTTGTCATGAAATGCAGCATTTCCACTGTACTCAGTTCCCAAGAAGGCCCACTCTGTCTTCTGTCCAAATGTTCAGGCAGGGACAGAGGTGAATATGATGTCCCCACCCCTGCTGGGAGCTGCCCAGGAAAGCTGAGGGCACTAGGGTTGGCAGACAGGTAGGACTCAAACCAAGTCTATACACTCTGGACAACAGAGCATCTAGGCCATCACATTCACCCACAGGACACCTCCATATGAATAAGAAAAGGTATCCACTAACAAGGGAGTAGACAGTGGGGCCTTCCAAAACCAGGGTCCCTGAATTACCAAATGACAATCTGAGAAAGTACCTGGCCTGACCTGGCCCCAGACTCTGCCCCCAACACACACACACACACACACACACACACACACACACACGCTCTCACACCTAATGAATTAACCACGCTTTGGTTTGCAGCAGGAAACCCCTTCCGCACATGGACCTCACCCCCTAGAATCAACAACAAGGTGAGTGGCCCCAGAAGGGTCCAAGAAGAAGGAAATCCCTCCACACATTACACAGTACCCACCTATTGGCCCTAAGTTCCCCATCCATTTGTGAGGCTCTCTGACCACCTCATCTCCCCTCTCCCCAGAGGCTCTCCCGCTTCTTTCAAAGAGTCCAGGATTTGGACAGAGCCTTCATGCCTGCCTTGGCCAAGGACACCATCCAGGTAAGGGCAGGACCCAGGGCAAGCAGGTGGAGGCATCCCATAGAGGACTGGAGAAGGTTGGTTCTGGGAGCAGAGAGATCCGAACACAATGGCATCCTGTTCTGAGGCCCCGCCTCTCCCAGGGTGGGTGGGAAGAGCAGACACGCAGGTATTTGTACTCACTGTGAGACCCATGTGCACCTACTAACACCTTTCCTTGTGCCGTCCGTGCCCATTGGGTTTATGTCATCCCTGGCATTCATGAACAGGGCTGACCTCTGAGTGGCTGGATTCCAGGGGCAAAAAACACAGGGAATCTATCCAGCACCACCTTTATCCCCAAATAGATCACCGTCTCTAGTTTCTATTCGCTGGGGCTGAGTGGGCAGAGTCTTCATGTAGCCTCTCTAGCGCATGGCCCACCGGCTCTGTGTCCCCATCGCCCCAGGACGTCATACAGGTGGTGGATGAGCTACTGGAGACTCCTGGAGACCTGGAGACCCTGCCCCACTCAGAGCAGCACCGTGTGGCCACCATCCTGCTTGTTGGCCAGGAGCAAGTCCTGAGATCGCTAAGCAAGATGCTGCCCAATGAGACATTGACCTTTAATACAGCTGGAGGCACAGGTAAGTACCCCGTCTGCCCCGAGGCTCTGCTCTGGCCTTTCTCCACCTCATTCCTCCCTCACCCTCACTGCACCTGAGTGACCCCGCTTGTATCTCAGTGTTACTCTTATAAACACATGAAAATAAAAGCTTAAAAAGAAATGAATAAATTATGCTAAGTGAAATAATACAGAGAAAGGCAAATGCCATATGCTTTCACTTATGTGTGGAATCTAAAAAATAAACTCATAGAGTGGTGGTTGACAGAGGAAGGGAGTGAGGGGTTGTTGACATGGATAAAGGGGGTCAAAGGTACAAGCTTCCAGTCATAAAATAAATAAGCCATGGAGATATAATGTACAGCATGGCAACTATAGTTAATAATACTGTATTGCATATTTTAAAGTATGAGAATAAATCTTAAAATTTCTTATCACAAATTTTTAAAATATAACTATTTATGATGATGAATGTTAGCTAGATTTATTATGGTAATCATTTTGTAATACATACAAATATTGAAGCATTACATTGTACACCTGAAACTAATATAATGTTATATATCAATTACACGTCAATTAAAATAAAGAAATGATAAAACTGTAAATAATGTACATATTCACTGTAAAATAAATTATGAGCAGAAAAAATAATTATAATGAATTTAAGATAAATACAAATGGCTTCAAAAGAAAACAATTAATTTGGAAATATATAAATTTAATATTATATAACATATTATTTGTTTTATTGAGGTAAAATTTATGTAACATAAAATTGACTATTTTAACCAAAGTGTACAATTCAGTGCCATTTAGTACATTCACAGAGTTGTAATAATCACCTCTATTTCTAAAGTATTTTCATCACCCCAAAAATAAACACTGTACCCACCTAGCAGTTGCTCCTCGTTCTCCCCTCCACCAACCCCTGGTAACCACTAATCTGTTTTCTGTCTCTAAGGATTTGCCTATTCTGGACAGTATATATATATATATATATATATATATATATATATATATACACACACACACACACACACACACACACACACACCAGGGGTGCCCAAAAATTTCATACACATAACTTGTATTCATCTTTTATTATCAGTATATATTGATTATTACAATTTTAATACAGATTTTTCCTTTCTTAAAATGCATATACATTTTTTTGGCACCGTGTGTGTGTGTGTGTGTGTGTGTGTGTGTACATGCACGTGTGTGTATATATACATATACATATATATGATATATGATCATACAATACCTGACATTATAGTTTACCTAACACAATGTTTTCAAGGTTCATCATGTTGTAGCATGTAGATGTAGCATGTAGCTGTGGTTGAATAATATTCCATTGTGTGGATAGGCCATCTTTTGTTTATCCATTCATCCATTGAAGGGCATGTGGGTTATTACCTCCTTTTGACTATTGTGAATACTACTGCTAGGAATATTAGTGTACAACTTTGTCTGAATAACTACTTCAGCTCTTTGGGGTACATAAGAGTGAAATTTCTGAGTGACATGGTAATTCTACACTCAGCTTTTTGAGAAACACCTGAAGTATTTTTCCAAACTGGCTACTTTTCCATTTACACCCCCAACCAGCAATGTACAAGGGTTCCATTCTCCACATCTTCAACAATACTTCTTACTTCCATTTGCTTTTGGTTTTATAATAGCCTTTCTAGTGATTTGCATTTCCCTAGTGACTAATGATGTTTAATACTTTTTACATGTCACTGTTAAACACTTGTGCATCTTTTTTGGAGAAATGTCTAATTCCTTTGCCTATTTTTTTTTTTAGCTGAGCCATCCTGCCACCTATTGGCAGCTCAGTGGCTGCTCAGCTTGGGCCGGGACTCGAACCGCTGTTGCTCAGACCTCACACTCTTGAGCAAGCTCTTAACCAACTGAGCCACTCGGCCGGCCCTCCTTTGCCTATTTTTAAATTTGGTTGTGAGCCTTTTGGTTGTTGAGCTGTAAGATATCTTGATATAATCTAATAGTATACCTTATGAGACAGACAATTTGCAAATATGTTGTCCCAGTCCATAGATTGTGTTTTCACTTTCTTCTTAGTATTTTCACCTCAATGAACAGATGCATCAGTTATGATCGTCTAGTTTATCTGTTGTTTCTTTTGTTGTTTGTGCATGTGTTGTCATACCTAAGAATCCATCTCCAAATCAAACACCAGGAAGAGTTGTCCTTATGCTTTCTCCTAATTATTCTAGTTTTAGCTCTTAACTGTAGGTTTTTGACTCATTTTGAGTTAATTTTTGTTTATTGTATGAGGTGGGGTACCAAAATCCATCTTCTTTGTGTGGAGAGCCAGATGTCCCAGCTCCATTTGTAGGAGACTATTCTTTCTCCATTGAAGAGTTTTGGCACCCCTTGTTGAAAATCAGTTGACCATAGATGAATGTATTTATTTCTAGACTCTAAATTCTATTTTGTTGGTCTACACGTCTATCTTTATGCCAGTACCATACTATTTTGATTATTGTAGGTTGGTAGTAAGTTTAGAAACCAGGAAGTGTGAGTCCTCCAAATTTGTTTATTAATTTAAAGATTGTTTGGGGTATTTGAGCCCCTTATTTTGTGTATTTGAGCCCCTAGCAATGCTCTACAAATTTTAGGATGAGCTTTTCCATATCTGCAAAAAAAGTAAATAAAATTATGTTGCAATGTTGATACAGATTGCATTGAATTTGTAGAACACTTTGGGTACTATTGTCATCTTAATAATATTAAGTCCTCTAATCATGAACAAAGGATGTCATTTGATTTAATTAGGGTTTTTAATTTCTCTAAATAACTTTTGTAGTTTTCTATGTACAATCCTTGAATCCCCTTAGATAAAATTATTCCTAATATTTTGTTGAATTATTTTGCATCTCTGTTTATAGGAAATATTGGTCTACAGTCTTGTTTTCTTGTGATGTCTTTATCTGACTTTGTTTTCAGGGTAATGGAGGCCTCATAGAATTATTTATGCAGTGCTCCTTCCTCTACTATTTTAAGGAAGAATTTATAAAGGAATAGTGTTAATTAATCCAAAACTGGTTATAGAATTCACCAATGAAGCCGTCTGTTCTGGGCTTTTCATTTTGGGAAGTTTTTGATTATTGGTTCAATCTGTTATAGGTGTGTTCTAATTTTCTATTTCTTCTTAATTTAATTTTGGTAGTTTTTGTGTCTCTAGGAATTTCTCCATTTCATCTAGGTTATCTAACTTGTTGAATAATTGCACATGATATTCTCTTATAATCCATTGTAAATTCTCATAATATGTATACCATTATTGTGTATACCAAATATTATGTGTAATACTATTATTATGTGTACGAAATAACACTGGTATTTATGAAATATATATTATTAATATATAAATATTATGTTATATATAATATTTATATGTTATGTAGAGTATTTATATAATGTATTAAATATATAATAAGGTATTACAGCAACCACTGCAGGTACAATTAATAATCTAATTCCTTTCTTTAATTCCCACAACTCATAGAGCTGTCCCTAAAAGTGAAGGAGCAAGGACACAGGAACGTCACCTTGAGTGTTAATCAGGCAAAGATGATGCTGAACTGGGATACGGTACAGGAATCTGGTGACTCAGGTAATGGATAAGATGGTGAAAAGATGCCCATGGATTTAACAAATAGAGAATTAAAGTCTAAATGATGGTGTAGGCTATGGTGGGGCCCCAAGAAAAGAGTCTACCTGAAGAAGAAGGGGTCCTATTGGGCACCCCAGGATGTCAACCTTGGCCTCGTCCTGCAGGCCCTTCTCTCGTGGGCCTTGTCTCCACCCCAGGAATGGGCAAGTTGCTGGCTGAGGCCCCCCTGGTCCTGGACACTAAGGAACAGGCAGTTCTGAATGAGACACACAAGGTCTTGCGGCAGGGAGCACCCCCCGTCCTGCTCTCAGATGTCATCTCAGCCTTTCTGAGCAATAATAACACCCAGAACCTCAGCTCCCCAGTCACCTTCATCTTCAAACATGTGAGTCCTGATAGGATGGGAATGTGGGTATGGAATAGGCCTGAGTCCTGGGCACAGCTCTGGGGCTCAGGGGGCGCCCCTGCTGGTGCATCATCTCCCCAGGAAAGCCCTTCACAAGCCAGATTTGGATCAGCATTTATGAGCACCAGAACCACCTGTTCACATCTATGCTCCGTTCCTACAGTCAGTGAACCCTGGTCCAAGGCAGAAGGTATTCTGTGTCTTCTGGGAACATGGCCAGAATGGAAGTGGTTATTGGTCCACCAAAGGCTGCTGGATGGTGGGCACCAGAGATGCCAGCACCACCTGCCAATGCACCCACCTCAGCAGCTTTGCTGTCCTCATGGCCCAATACGATGTACAGGTGAGGACCCTAAGGGGCTGAATTCAAGGTCTATTGCTGTGTAACAAATTCTCCCATATATCGCAAATTAAAAATCATACACACACAGACACACACACAAATTTGTAACTCAACCATTTCTTCAGGTCAGCAATCTGGCATGGTGTAGCTCAGTTGTCTGCTCAGAGTCTCACAAGGCGGAAATGACTGTGTCAACTAGGGCTGCAACCTCATCTGAGGCTTCTTGTCCTCTTCTAAGCTCTCAGGTTGCTGGCAGAATTCAGTTCCTTGTGGTTGTAGGACTGATTTCTCACTTTCTTGCTAGCTGGCAGTAGGGAACCAAACTCTGGTGTGTTCCTCTCACATTGTATCAGTGTTCCTATCTGGAGGCCAGCAGGAGAAGCTCCCTTACATTAAAGCTCTCTCAAACTTTGAATCTTTTTCTCCTAGAACAGCCTAGATCATTTAATGGTTCATCTGATTAGGTCAGGCCCAGGATGAACTCCCTCTCTTAAAGTCATTTGATTCTGGACCTGAACCCTACCTGCAAAATGCCTTCACAGCAGCACCTAGATCGGCATTTGACTAAAAACATGGAAGCAGTTATGTGTATACAAGCAGGTGGGGATATGGTTGCCAAATCATAATTCTGCTTACCACGGGGGTCTTCAGGACAGGGGTGCTCAGGGGCTGCATGAAGAAAGGTTTGATGTTGGCATTGGTCAGAGGGGCCAGGGGAGCCAGTGAGTACAGGTGAGTCAAGGAGCCATGTTTGCCTCCTTCCCTGGCCAGGTGAACTGGTTACTTTCTCTAGTTCACCAACACCAGAAACTAGCTCAAGTGATATCAAGTTATGGAGCCTTTATGAAATAACATGGCACCCACATGAAAAAGGTCACAGCCAATGGTCAGACCACATAAGCGCCACCAGGAGTTTGAACAACACTTCAAGACCATGTTTCCTCCTGCCACATCACTAGATAACACAATATTCATATTTTTATTTATATACTGTTTTATATTTACTGAAGAGTTAAAATATTTGCATTTCAAATTCAAACTGAATAAGAGAGAAAAACATTAAAGATTCTCCATCTCACCCCTAGCCCCAACCCTTAGTTCCTCTTGCCTCAGACAACCAAATTTGTTAGTTTCTCCCGCACTTTTCTATGGGTATTTTATACATAGAAAAATAATGCATATACTTGTTTTTTTGGTCCTCCTCTTCTCACACACATAATGGAGTGTTTTTTCATTCTTGTGCATTTTGTGTTTTTATTTATTACATCTGAGAGATTATTCTAGTCCAGTCTACAAAGATACACACCATTATTTTTATTGCCATGTTGCATTCTGTTGTGTGAATGCACCATAAATTACACATCAAGTCTTCTCACAGTGGGCATTTTATTTTGATTGTTTGCTAATACAAATAATGTTGCAATTGTTTACACACACTTCATTGTTCCCCTGTTTGGATATGATGTACGTGTTCCAGGTCAAATTCATAATTGTATATTGGTAGATTTTCCATAGTTCAACATATAGAAATCACATCTGTGAACACTCCCACCAGCATTACATGAGGGTGTGTGATTTCTTACACCTCATCACAAGGTTATTATCAAATTTTTGGATGTTTACTCATCTGGTGGAAATGATAATGTTTATTTCAGCAATATTCATATTTCCTTCTCCCAAAACAATTTGCTCACATCCTTGGTCTATTTTTCTATTGCTTGTAGATACATTTCTTATGGATTTATGTGAATTCTTTATGTAGTAGGAAAATTGGTTTATTTTGTTAGACCAAAAATACTCAAAATTTGGTATGCATGAAAATCATTTGGAAGACTTGCTATTTATTTTTTACCATTTTATAAGTTATATAAATGTCTAGCCACTATGCTGTACACCTGAAACTAATATAAAATAATATTGACTATCAACTGTAACTGAAAAAAATAAATAATTAAAAAAAGAATCATTTCAAACTTACAGACATGTTTCAAAAATAAAAATAGTGCAAAAATATATATTGCTGTTATCCAGATGAACCAATTTGGAAAACTTTTACTTCCATTCTTATGCATTAGCACAATTCTCTCTCTCTCCACCTTCCTCCCTCTCTATCTCTATCTCTGTGTCTATTAATCTCAACCTCTATCTCTCCCCTCTCTCTTCATTCTCTCTCCCTCTCTCCCCTTTCTTGCTTTCCCTCCTCTCCCGTCTCCTTTCCCCTATCTCCCCTAGTTACGCTGAAATGGAACTGGTGGCATTTTTTTATGCTCCTCTTGTAATTAAGATGATTTGCAAAAAGAGGCAGGAAATAAGAATTTTAAGCTACCACCATCGTCAGAGTGTAGCGGTTTTCCTCCTTTAACCCAGGATCGTTTTCTAAATCTGTAAGGATTAGTGACCAGCAAGGAACAGGTGTTGCAGGGATGAGGTGAGTGGAGTCTGGGGTGGGGGGTTGATATCAGGACATCGAGTCTCCAGGTACAGACTTTGTCACACAGCATCAGGTAATGAGAACAAAGGATGGTACTTAACCCTGAGATTTGTGCCTCCATGACCCTCACATGGTGATCTATAAGCTTAGTCATGCCCAAAAGTCTAAAGGAAAATAAACCCGATGAGTTCCAGGGCTTGGTCTTCGGTAAGGACCCTCTTGTCCCTTAATTCTCCCAAGATCTGAATAAATCAGTTCAGGACCTCAGAAAATTCTAACATTACCCATTAACATCACAAATTTACCTGGCTCCTCCTTTCCTGGTTTTGTTACAACTGAAAATAAAGCTAAAGAGGATGGAAGGGTCATTACTCCAGAGCAGGCAAGTTTCACTGTGATCTCTCTTCTCTGAGTCCCAGGAGGAGGACCCCGCCCTGGCTGTGATCACCTCCATAGGGCTGAGCCTGTCTCTGCTGTGCCTCCTCCTGGCGGCCCTCACCTTCCTGCTGTGCAAAGCCATCCAGAACACCAGCACCTCACTCCACCTGCAGCTCTCCATCTGCCTCTTCCTGGCCCACCTGCTCTTTCTCACCGCTATCGACAGAACTGAGCCTGAGGTACTGACACTGTCCCAGAGGACCCCCTGCCCTGCCCAGGGGATGCGGAGCTCATGGGCCCATGCTGCATCCACACCTTAATAAAATGGCCTTGGGTCACGGTAATGTTAAAGGGGTGAGTAGCCACTTTCACACGGAGTGACACAACTAGAAGAATTGTGTCATATACATCAGAGTTCTCCCCAATGGCAAGGTGTAGGAGAGGTCCTGGGACCACGCTCTACCGTGATTCCCCCCGCCCCCCTCCCCGACTCTCACTCCTCCCCCAGGTGCTGTGCGCCATCGTCGCGGGTGCCTTACACTACCTCTACCTGGCCTCCTTCACCTGGATGCTGCTGGAGGGCCTGCACCTCTTCCTCACTGCACGCAACCTGACTGTGGTCAACTACTCCAGCGTGAGCAGATTCATGAAGAAGTTTGTGTTCCCGGTTGGCTACGGAGTCCCAGCTGTGATTGTGGCCATTTCGGCAGCTTCCAGGTCTCACCTTTATGGAACGCCCGCCCGGTTAGCGCAAATTCCCACTGTCGTTGTCTTCACCACATGACCATGGCCAGCAGAGAACCAACATAGCATTTTGATTATGCTAAATCATAATATGAAGAGAGATACTATGTAATAATTCCTAGAGCCTTTTTCTGGTGGCAGTTTATAATAATTAAGGAAAATATCTTTATTTTTTTAATTATTTCTTTTCAGTTATAGTTGACATTCAATATTATTTTATATTTAGCTTCATGTGTACAGCACAGCACTTAGACATTTATATAATTTATGCAGTGATCCCCCCTTTAGTCTAGTACCCACCTGGCACTATACATAGTTGTTGCAACATTATTGACTATATTCTCTATGCTGTACTTTACATCCCTGTGACTATTTTGTAATTACAACTTTGTATTTCTTAATCACTTAATTTTTTTCACCCAGCTCCCCAACCCCTCTCCCCTCTAGCAACCATTAGTTTGTTCTCTGTATCTATAAATCTGTTTCTGTTTTGTTTGTTTGTTTATTCTGTTCTTTAGTTCCACATATAAGTGAGATCCTATGACATTTGTCTTTCTTGCTCTGTCTGACTTATTTCACTTAGAATAATGCACTCTAGGTCGATTCGTGTTCTCACAAATGGTAGCATTTCATTCTTTTAATGGGTGTATATTATGTACCATTGTATATATGGACCACATCTTTATCCAATTGTCTATTGATGGGCATTTCGGTTGTTCCCATATCTTGGCTATTGTGAAAGCGCTGCAGTGAACATAAGGGTGCAGATATCTTTTTGAATTAGTGTTTTGGATATTTTTAAAAAATAAATACCCAGAAATAGAATTGTTGGGTCATAAGCCAGTTCTATTTTTAATTTTTTGAGGAAACTCCATATTGTTTTCCGCAGTGGCTGCACCAATTTGCAATCCCACCAATAGTACACAAGGAGTTTCCTTTCTCCACATTGTTGCTAACGTTTGTTTTTGTTGATTTATTGATGATGGCCATTCTGACAGGTGTGAGATGATAGCTCATTGTGGTTTTAATTTGCATTTCTCTGATGATTAGTGATGTTGAATTTCTTTTCATATGTCTATTGCCAATGTGTATGTCCTCTTTAGAGAAATGTCTCTTCATGTCCTCTGCCCACTTGTTAATTGGATTGTTTGCTTTTTTGGTGTTGAGTTGTATCAGTTCTTTATAAATTTTGGATATTAACCCCTTATCAGATGGATCATTGGCAAATATCTTCTCCCATTCAGTAGGCTGTTTTTTTCATTTTGTTGGTGGTTTCCTTTGCTGTGCAAAAACATTTTAGTTTGATGTAGTCCCATTTGTTTATTTTTTCTTCTGTTTCCCTTGCCCAAGGAGATATATCAGAAAATAAATATCACTAAGAAATGTCAGAGAGTTTACTGCCTATGTATTCTTCTAGAAGTTTTATGGTTTTAGGTCTTACATTTAAGTTTTTAATCCACTTTAAGTTTATTCCAGTATATGGTGTAAAAAAGTAGTCTAGTTTTGTTTGTTTGTTTGGTTGGTTGGTTTTTGCATGTATCTATCTGTCCAGTTGTTTGAACACCATTTATTGAATGGACTGTCTTTACCCCCACTGTATACTGCTGCCTCCTTTGTCATAGATTAAATGACCATATAAGCGTGGGTTTATTTCTGGGCTCTCTGTTCTGTTCCATTGATCTATGTGTCTGTTTTCACGCCAGTACCATGCTGTCTTCATTACAAGTTCTTATTAACTCCACCTGAAATCACATCCTTAGGCAGCTAGTGATGTGATGGTAGTTTGCTGTTGCTTTGGTAATGCCCTAGGGGTAGACTTTTTTATCCCCCACTTAGATAAGCTCTCAGTCAAATCAGATAGACACCAAATTTGGAGAATATAGAGTCCCCAGGGAGCTAAAGGGTCAGAAAAAAATATATTGACTGTGCTCTGGGAATGATGATGATGCTTTTAACAGAGATCCAAAAATAGTCAGATCACTCTGTTGTCTGCATGCTACCAAGTTTTGGCTGCTTCACTACTAAGCTGGGGAGAGAAAGAATGGAAATAGCTGCCAGTCAAAGCATCGAGACTCCTTCCTCACCAGTCTTATCAAGATTCAGTACTCTCTCTTAGATAGACTATTTTCAGTTTGTTCTGTGGTTTTGGGTAGTTGCCAGAATTTGAAATGGTTGGTTTTAGTTGTTTTGTTTAAATTTTCGTTGTTTTAGAAGGAAAATCTTCTCTCTTCCATCCAGGAAGTCAGTCTTCTAGAACGTGCACTTTTAACCACAACATGCTGCTAAAATTTATGTTCACCTGTATCAACTGAACTCTTTTCAGGCGAACACTTCCAAGAAATGAACACTTCAGTTCTTTCTTGCTTACATTCTTCTTAGTGTACATTTCATTGTACCAGAATGTCTTACCACACTCTCTATTGTCCTGAAATATCCTGCCTCTCTCTCTTGGTTACACTAATGTTGGATCAAGGGTGAACTCTGTCACTATCAGTAAAACCTTGAGCAACAGACTTAAGCCCTCTATGCTTCAGTTACCAATCTGTACTCTAAAGAGAACTTCTGTTCTGCACTTCTGTTTAAATTAAATTGAATAACTCAACAAAAAAAGACAAATAACCTGATTTGAAAATGGACAAAAGATTTGAATAGACATTTCTCCCAAGAGATGTAATGATGAATAAGTGCATAAAATGATGCTCAAAATCATTAATCATTAAGAAAATGCAAATAAAAAACCTTCATACCCATTAAGTCAAATGATTAAAATAAAAAAGAACAATAAAAAGTGTTTGCAAGGATATGGGAAAAATTGAAGGCTCATACATTGCTAATTAGAATGTAAAATAGTGTAGCCACTTTGGAAAGTGGTTGAACAGTTTCTCAAATGTCGAACATATATAGCTACCACATGACCCAGCAATTCCACTCCTAGGTATATACCCCAAACAAATGAAAACATATGTGAGCACAAAAACTTGTACATGAATGCTCATAGCGTCATTATTCAAAATAACCCAAAATTGGAAGCAACCTAAGTTCATCAACTATCAGTTGGACAAACAGAATGGTGTACCTATACTAGAGAATATTATTTAGCCATTAAAAAAATATAAAAAAAGATGATTCAGCCATAAAAACATGCTGCAACATGGATGAACCTTGAAAACTATTATGCTAGGTGAAAGAATCATGTGATAAAATACCTAGTGTATGATTCCATTAATGTCCAGAATAGGCAAAGTCATAGAGACAGAAAGTCAATTAATAGTACCATGGGGATCTAGTGCGAGGTGAGCTTCAGAGGAATGAGGAGTGTCTGCTAATGTGAATGAGTTTTTTGCTGTTTTTTTTTTCTGAGGATTTGAAAATGTTCTAAAGTTAGATTGTGATGATGCTTGCACAACCGTGTGAATATTTTAAAGATGACTGAACTGTACACTTTAAATGAATGAATTTTATGGTATGTGAAATACATCTCAATAAAGGCATAAGTTTTTTTAATTCAGTAGATGGTTTTTGCAGCGGATGAAAAAAATTAAATTGAATAGTTCAAGAAAGGTGCTTAAAACCATGTCAGGTTCACAGGACTCTCAAAAACTGTTGACACATATGCAGACTTCTCCCACGCTTCAACACAATTAGTATCATCCACACATTGTTCAAATCTCAGCTCAAATACAAATTTCTTGGGGAATCTTCCTTAACCATCTTAATCCCTTAGACTCAAAACTAAGCATGACATCCTATGGTACATTCTCATAGCCTCCCATTTTTGTTGTGTTGTTACAATGTGTCTAATTATGTGTCTCCTACCTTATGTGAGATTTGTGGGATTCAAGACCATGTTTACTTTCTTCACTGCCATATCTTTAGAGCCAATAACAGTACCTATCACAGAAGACACCCAGTATTTGTTGATGAATGAATTAATGAGTGAATTTACATAATTGCTCTACATTTCAAAGGACCAATCCTTTTTTTATTCTCTCTCTTGCCTAGCTGCTGGCTCCACCCAAATACAGGATTTATATGGGCCTTCCTTGGGCCAGTCTGTGCCATCTTCTCTGTGAGTGATGACATCAGAGCATCCTTAACACTCAGCTGAGGGTCATTAAAAGAGCAGAATTATGGCAGGGGGGGGGGATTACAGGATCAGGAATGTTCCTGAGTTGTCTTGGGTTTGTTTTAGTTTTCTAAGACTGCTCCTAAAACTGCAAACTCTAACACCATTACTAAATATGAAAATTACTTAACTGTGGAATTGATGCTAGACAGGCTAGGCTAATGATAACAGATTGAAATTGTATTCAATAAATCTTCTGTGGTTTCCTGAAGGTCAACCTAGCTTTCTTTTTGATGACCCTCTGGATTTTGAAGACTAAACTGTCTTCCCTCAACAGTGATGTGTCCACCCTCCAGAATACAAGGTAAAATGGAGAAGAGGGTGACAACCCCACAGAGATGCGTGGTCCCAATATCAAATCCATGTGCCTCAGCAGCCCATGACGTCCCTTCTCAGGGTCTTCTGAGGGAACTCAGAGTAAAGAGATACAGATATCCTTCTATGGCAGCAAGTTTGGATTTAGTGGTGTGCTGCTGCCACCCCTGCCAGAATTTCTGTCTGTCTCTAATCCCAGCTTGTAACTTCCTCAGCAACAACAACAGGCATTGGTTGATAAACATTCTTTGGACTTTTATCAGCAGTCCTATGACAAAAGTGCAAAGAATCTTTATGTTCCCCTGAGGCACTTAGAATTATCTGTGGCTGCTCCAACAACCCAGCCTACACGGTCACGCCCACCCCCAGTTCAGGCTACTTTTCACTCTTCTCCATTTCTCTCTGGAAAAAAAATCTGATTCTAGGAGGCTTGGGCTATCCTTGACTCCAGGAACCCTTGTGAAAATGTAATGCTCTTTCTCCTATGTTCCTACCATTATCCTTTCTAAATTTTGCATGTCATTATTTGCTTGTAATAGTCATTTGAATAGACTATGAGATTTATGAAAACAGAAAATTTGCCTTTGTTATTTTTTTTTAAGATTTTTATTGGGGGATTGGGGGATGGGAACAGTGCTGGGGAATTGGGAGAAGGGAAACAGACAAGTTGCTGTCCTCTTGTTCTTCAGTCTAGTTGTGGAGGACGTTGCTTCACTGACCCAAGTTGGCACCATCATTACCCTCTTCCCGGTGAGGCAGATCAGTCGCCGGCTTCTGGATGGCCGCTCACTGTGGCTGCTGGCCGCTCATGCTGGCTGCTGGCTACACACAGTAGCCCATGGCAACCCACTGCCACAGAGGCTGCAGCCTAGCCATCGCCGGCGACTCACGGCAGCCCAGCTCCAGGTTGAGCTGTTGTTCAGCATCTTAGCTGTGGAGGGCAGTGTCACTGGCCCTCATATATGGGATCCGAACCGGGGCCCTCTCGAATCCCAAGCCAGCTATTAACCAACGCACCACTGGGCCGGCCCCCCTTTGTTAATTTTAATGCCCAGGCTCCATTACAGAGCCCAGTGCAGAGCGCAGCTTCAATAATGTTGGTTAAATAAAATTAGGGATCTCCATTGAGCATCATAAAATTTTTTGAAATTTGCATTTTTAAGTGTCACTACCCTCCTCAGTCCAAATCGAAATGCCATCCTGGACCTGGGTGGCACTTTTATTGTGAGAATCGCTGACAGTGAAGATCAAAGCTGATCACAACTCAGTCTGAGAACGCATCGTGAACGGGAAGGCAGGAGCATCCGTGGCGTAGAGACGAGAATGGCTTTGATTCTGTTGTTCTGCATGTGCTATGGGCCTCCCTTCTCCTCCTACCCAGGATGCTGACATTTAAAGCGACAGCTCACCTTTTCATCTTGGGCTGCACGTGGTGTCTGGGCATCCTGCAGGTGGGCCCAGCTGCCCGCGCCATGGCCTACCTCTTCACCATCATCAACAGCCTGCAGGGCGTCTTCATCTTCCTGGTCTACTGCGTCCTCAGCCAGCAGGTACCACTGTCCGACTCCCACTCAGGACTCTTTCCCTCCTCACTCCTCTCAGTGAGCTGACTCAGCGTGCGTTGCCTCTGCAGGTCCGGGAGCAATACAGTAAATGGTTGAAAGGGGTCAAGAAAACCAAAGCCGAGTCTGAGAAATACACGCTCTCCAGCAGAGCCATGTTTGAAACCTCCAAAGACAGTGTGGTAAGATCACTCATAGCTCCCAGAGCACTTCACTAACTGATCCGCTGAGTAGCTCATGCCATTCACACTGGACAACCTGGGTATATCATAGATGATACCCTAGGAAGGCTCACACTGGCTTTACTCTTGGACTCATTAACTATTAGCAATGGTCTCACTTAAAAAACTATATATAGGCATATTTTGCTCTTACTCCTTGGGAAACTGTGTTCATCTTAACTTTTGCCCATCAACACTCTTATTGAAGACCTACCATGTGCCATACATGGTTAACTAAATAAGTAACAATTAATGATGTGAAACAGTAGATCACATTTTACCCAGAGCTACATTATTTTATCCTTTTTCTCTTCATCCACCTCAATCTCAGCCACTCAGCATCGCCCCTCAAAAAAGGCAAAAATGGGGGGAAATGATGTACATATTTAAGAATTTAACAGAAATAAGTGTTAGCTGGAATTTTAGACTTTCTTAACAAGACCATCTGACATTTTCAGCACCCTTCACCCACTGCAAAACCAGGGAGGAAAAGCGGTAATGGCATGGCATCATTCATAGCAGTGATTAGTAAGAACCAACATCGGTTTGGATTTACAAAGTTCTTTTTTTATCTTTGTAGACTTATAAAGTTCTTTTACCTACATTGTCTCATCTCTTCTTCCACCTTTTATTAAACACCCTGAGTCTTCCTTCCCATTTAAAGGAGACTACTCTGCTCCCAGGATGTCCTTCTGCATTTATCTCATTACCTTGTTCACCCAACCTCCACACATATTGGTTACACCACTGAGTCTTCTATCTCCTCTCGCTTTCTCAGCAAATATTCTGGCCACCTATTTCACAGATAATATCCAAGTCATCATGATGACTCTGTGAGCTGCACGCTGTCAACCCTACCGACCAAATATTAGCATGCATCTTCTCCACATTCCCGTATCATTGATACAAATTCTCTTCTCCTCTCTGAAAACAACGCTTCTATCCACATTTCGGACCCCATCATTCATACCTTATCAATTATCCTTACATTATTGTTCACACATTCTCTCTCTCTCTCCTCCTTCCCTCCCTTTCCCCTTCTATCTTTCCCTCACCTTCTCAAAAGTATTCTTCCCATAGCCATAGAATGTTTGGTTCTCTTCTATCTTACAAACATGTACTACTTGGCCTACCATTCCCTTCTAGCTACCAGAAGAGTTGACTTTTCTCTGTCTCTATTTCCTTGCTTTAAACTCAGTCCCTCAACCCATGTAGATATGGCTTCTTTCCCCCCTCATCCCACCAAAGCTAATATTTCTTAGGTCTACAATGATCTCCATGTCCCTAAATGTCCTTCCAGAAACGTATTACATTATTTATCCCTCCTCATAAAACACTCCATCCATATCCTGTCTAGGTTCTATTTACATGTCCCTCCACGTTTTTCTTCCATTATCTCTATCTTTTGTCCCTTTGCCTCCTTTATAGCTCCATCTAGTGGATTGGTTCCAGAACAATGTCAATTCTCTTTCAATTCTTTCTTCCCAGACAATTCAATCTATTCCTTAGATTCAGTCACTATCTAAATGCAAATGGTGGCCACATATGTTTCCTTACCTCTGACCTCTCCTCTGAGAACTAGAGGAGTATTTCCAGTTACTTACTTGACATCCTTGATATCTCCAAGACAGCTTCAACTCAGCCTTCCAATATAAGACTCTCAATCTTTACCCTAATCCAATTTTTTCTCATGGTATCTTTCTCTCTCTGAATGGCACTATGTCCATCCTGTGGCACAAGTTTGGAACCTGCAAGTTACTCTCAACAATTATACTATTTCCCACCACAAACTACCCAGTGTACCACCTGTTGTTCTTGTCCTCAACATGTCCCCAGTATGTCTAGCTGCCTCAGTCTCCATCAGCCCCTCCTTAGCCAGGCTGGCATCTTCACTTGTCTGAACAACTGCAATACCCTTCCTACTCTTCTCACCTTCTAATGCCTCTTTACACAGAAGTCAGAGGGAACGTTTCACAATACAAATAAAATAATGCCATGCCTTTGTTAAACTTATTACATGTACTTTCCCTTGTGTTCATTTCGGAATACTTTCCTGAAACACAACATTTATATACTTCTTAAGTAGAGAGAAGCATGTGCAGTTGCCCATCTCAAATGCCAGAAATTACACTGAGCTTTCTATAAATCTAGGAACAAATAACTCATATTGGGGATAGAAAAAATAAGGTGAAAAAAAGGAAGAATTAATGCTTCTACCTTTATGTCTTAGTAATTAACAATAAGTAACATTTCTGACTTCCCATTAATTTCCCACCTGCCCTCTTTTATGACTCCATGCATAAAGTAATATTTTACAAACCCTGAAGCAGAGGGATCAGTACATACATTTTGAAACAGATAGCTCATTTTTTTGTAGCACACTTAATTGCTCTTATCTTCTGTAACTTGGAGGTTAGGAAATGTAGGGAGATGGGACTTCTGAGAAACACCAGGGCCTAGAAAAATAAAATTAATATGGCCTTTTCTTACCCTGACAAATCCATCTGGCAAGGACATTTTGTGATTAAAAGCTTCTTAAATTTCTTCTTTCTTTTGTCAAAGGAAATATTTAAGTTACCTTTCTATAGTCTTATATATCATTTCTAAAATATTATCTTTCCAGGTTAATTAAAAAGATCTTTTGCACTATATCCTCTTCTCCCATGGAAAATCAGAACTGCCATCTTTGAGCTACTAAGAAGGGATAAAAAGACTTTGTTGTGTGTGTTTCAACAAATTCATCATATCAGCAATGTGAAAGAAGTCATGATGGACATGCTTGACTCCCAATTCCTACAAAATCTAGAAAACTCAACATATAAAAGGCCAGTGGTGACCCAATTCTTTGGTCACTTTGGGTTAAGTTCTTTTCTGAAGTCTTTTCTTTCTACAAAGACTCTTCCAGATGCTGAAAGTCTATGAGCAGGAAAAACAGCCTCAAAGGATTTTCCTACCAACAACATCCAGAAAAATGGGGATGTTCACACCATAGTCTGGATTTCTGAATTTCTTTGTTCGGTATTTCTGTGGGTTTAATTGCTCACTCATTCAAAAATATTAATTACTCACCATGTTTAAGGCATAGACCAAGAAAAACACAGGTCTTGCCTTCATGGGGCTTTCACAGGAATAAGAGTAAAGTAATTTTTGCAGCGAGAGTTGACTCAGAGGCTAAAAGGCCCCTATAGCTGAGCAATTGCCATGTAAACCATTGTACACACACCATCTTCTTTCATCTCCACACCCAGGTGCAGATATTTTGTAAACTCAGATTATGATATATATTTTTTTAGGCTTTGGGGATCAGTATATTGGTGTAATAAGGTTCTCCAGAGACACATAATTAATATATTTCTACTGGTTATGTAATATAATCCTGTGGTTTTTTTTTGTTTTGTTTTGGTTTGGTTTGGTTTTCTTGAGCTAAGGAAAAGGGTTCACGCTCACTTAAATTTTTTTAAATTTTCACATCTCATGTAATGGTCATATTAGTTTTAACAATTCTGATTTTCCAAAGACAATCCTGGCTTATTCTTGTTGTCCTGAAAAAATTATTAGTAGTGGCCTCTCTCACTCTTGAACATGTCCTTTAGAAATCAAATCATGTGGCGACCCATCAAATAACACTTTTTTACTTAAAATTATCTTATTTTTTCAGGTATTAATGTTGGTATAGCGGCTTTACTTTGCTATAATATTTTTCCTTTTTAATTTTTAATGTACCTTTCCCCTTGTTTCAGGAAATTTTCATACAGCTGAATTTTTGTCTGATATTTTCTTCCACTTATTCTCAAAATGTCTGTCTTTACTGGTGAGTTTAGTCCGTTTTCACTTGTAGTTACTGATATGTTTGGATGTGTTTTAGCAGCTTTTTTTTTTCTCCCTGTCCTACATTTGCTCTGTTTATTTTTAATATTCCCTTGGATATATCAAGAGTATGTAAGTTCCTTTTTTTAAAGAAAGTTACACATTCTATTTCTGCTCTTTTAGTAGTTACTCTCCACTTTTTAAAGCATTGCTATGTAATTTACAAAGCCAAAGTTAATCACTATGACAACCTATTCCCTAAACAATACAAGGATCTTAGAATATCTTAATTCAAATCCTACCTTAACTCATACAAGTTATTTTTGTGCTACATTGTGATTACACATTTTTATTAAAAGTCCTTAAATTAGTCATTATAAAGAGTACTGTCATATGCTGTCTTTTTGTTGAGGCTTAAACACATTTTAACACTTTCTTTGGACACCAGTCCTTCTTGAATCTCATTGCGTTCCTCTGAATTTGATTGCTTCTGGAGTTTATCTTTTAAGCATGCCTCAGTGAGAATTTGTTGGTGGTAAAGTCTCTTAGATTTTCATAATTTGAAAAGGCCTGCATTTCACCATTATCTTTTTTCACACTTGGTTTTGTCAGTAATGAGAAAATAAATACCTTCTTTTGCCTCAGAAAATTTTTTGGATGTTTTTATCACATAATATGGAGAAAGTTCCCATTAACATAATTTGTTTGAAGACTTATTTATTTATTTACTTATTTCCTTTGACACCCCCTCCTCCACATTCATGCATTTCTATTAGTTCTATTGGTTCTTTGCATTTATATGTATATGTGAAGAGACTTATTATAAGGTATTGACACACATGATAATGAAGGCTGAAAGTTCCACAATCTGCTAACTGAAAGCTGCAAAGCCAGGAAATCTGGTGGTATAGTTAAAATGCCAAAGAACCAGAGACCTGATGGTATAGATTCCAGTCTGGGTCTGAAGGCCTGAGAACCAGAAGCACTGACGACAGAAGATAGATGTCCCAGCTCAAGCAGTCAGGCCGAGTTATTCAACCTCCCTCCACCTTTTTATTCTATTTAAGCTCTCAATGGATTAGAGAACGCCCATCCACATCAGAGGGAGCCATCTGCTTTACTCAGTCTACTAAATGCTAACCTCTTCTGAAAACACCCTCATAATACACCCCAAAAATCATGTTTAACCAGCTTTCTGGGCATCCTGTGGCCCAGTCAAGTTGATACATAAAGTTAACCATCACAGCCAGATACAGGCAGACCTCAGAGATTTTGCAGGTTCAGTTCCAGACCACCACAATAAAGTGCATATTGCAATAAAATAAGTCACACAATTTGGGGTGGGGGGTTTCTCAGTGCGTGTAATAGTTATGTTTACACTGTAGCTTATTAAGTGTGCAATAGCATTATGTCTAAAAAACGCAATGTACCTACTTACCTAGAGTAAAAAATATTTTATTGCTAAAAATGCTAGCCATTACCTGAGCATGTTGAAAAAATGGCTCTGATCTACTTGCTCCATGCAGGGTTGCACAAATCTTCAATTTGTTAAAAAAAAAATCATCTGCAAAGGACAAAAATATAAAGCACAATAAAACAAGGGTATGCTTGCTTCTATAGCAACAGCTTAGCTCTGCCATTGTAACATGAAAACAGCTATACACACTCATAAATGAATGATCCTGACTGTGTTTTAATAAAACTTTATTTACAGACACTGAATTTGAATTTCATGTAATGTTTACATGCCATAAAATATCATTCTTCTGTTGATTATTTTCAATCATTAAAAATGTAAACACTAAGGGCCGGCCGAGTGGCTCAGTTGGTTAAGAGTTTGCTTAAGAGCACGAGCTCTGAGAAACAGGGTCCTGGTTCGATTCCCACATGGGCCAGTGAGCTTCACCAGAGCTGTGCCTGAGCTGAGCTGCTGCTGAGCTGTCAACAGGTGGCAGGATGGCTCAGCTGGTGAGAGCACATGCCCCTAATTACAAGATTGCCTGTTTGCTCTTGTCTGGGACTGAACTTGGCACCTTGAGCTGAGCTGCCACCAAGATGGCTCAGTGGATAGAGCATGCGCTCTTAACAGCGAGGTTGCTGGTTCGACTCCCACATGAAAAAAAATGTAAAAATTATTCTTAGCTTGTGGGCTGTACAAAAACAGGTGGTGAGCCAGATTTGGCCCATGGGCTACAGTGTGCCCATCTTTTCCCGATTTATTTATGTATTAACTATTCTAATATTTGATGAGCACTTACCCTTTTGAAAGGGGTGGTAGGTGAGGATAAAAGGGATCAAATATATAGTGATGAAAGGAGAGCTGACTCTAGGTGGTAAGCACACAATGTGATATACAGATGATGTATTACAGAATTGTACACCTGAAACCTATGTAACTTTACTAACAATTGTCTTTATAAACTTTATTTTAAAAAAATAATAAAGGTGTGATGCTAAACTGAAAGAAACTATTGGGTTGTTGGAAAAGTCATGACACACTTTTGCAACGAAAAACATAGAAAAAATACGTCATGACTTTTCCGAAAACCCAATACAATGAACAAGGCAGACGTGATCCCCATGTCCATGAGTCTTGGAGACCTGTGTATCAGTCAGCTCAGGCTGCCATAACAAAATATCATAGACTGGGTGTCTTAAACAACAGAAATTAATTTTCTCACAGTTCTGGATGCTGAGAAGTTCAAGATCAAGATTTGACAGAGTTCAGTTTCTGATTTTAGCTCCGTTCCTGGTGTGCACACTTCCTACTACTGTGTGCTCTCATGGCCTTTTCTCTGTGACCAAGCATGGAGAGAGAGAGAAAAAAAACTCTTTTGTATCTCTTCTTGCAGGGGCGCTAATCCTATCATGAGAGCCTTACTTTTATCTAACTCTAATTATCTTCCAAAGGCCCAATCACAAATACCATCACACTCAGGGTTAGGGCTTCAACATGAATTTGGTAAATGAGGACACAAACTTTCAGTCCACAACAGCCTATAAGATGGAAAACCAGGAGAAAGGGAAAATATAGCAGAGTAGGTACTGAGATCTAGGGGACACACAGGGCCTGTGGGGACATGACAGAAGTGGAACATTGCCCTGGTTGGAGAGGGCAAATAGGAGTGAGCTCTAGGGTCTGCTGATGGAGGCATACCTAGATGATTATGATTTGGGAGACAGATCTTGGCATGTACCCTTATGTCTTCGTTTTAAATCTATTAAACCTGTTCTTTGTATTTATAGTGGTAATATAACAGTATTAATGAGCTCAGAAATTATACTGATATTGACTTGAGAAGATCAGTTGGTTTATTGAGTACCCTACATTCTCAATTTCCCTGACTGTTTCCACCTGAGGTCATTGAACTTGTTATTCTGTTCCCTGTATTTTATGTATACCGAAAATCAAGTCTGAAAGAACAGGTCCCAGCAAGCTTTTTCTACAATGGGCCTGGCAGTAAATATTTTTGGCTTTGGAGCCTTGCAGTGTCTTTCACAACTACTCAACACTGACATTTATTGGGTTGTCGGAAAAGTCACGACGTATTTTTTCTATGTTTTTCATTGCAAAAATGCGTCAACCCAATAGCATGAAAGCAGTCATAGATAACACATCAGTGAATGGATGTGGATGTATTCCAATATAACTTTATTTACAAAAGCAAGCAGCTGCCTGTATTTCGCCTGCATGTTATAGTTTCCCAACCCTTGGTCTAAAGGCTAGGTTATATTTAGGTTAGACTGATTTGTCCATAATTCTTTTTTTTGACACTTAAATATTTTATTATTGCTGCATACACTGTATTTATTAGCCAATCGAAAGGCAAGGTCTCCCTTTGGCCCACTGACTGGAGATGCAAATATCTTTATTGCAAAATACATGTTCACAATTCAACATCTACAATTTCTGATTTCTGTTTAAAGTACAGTTTACTCTTGAACAACACAGGGGTTAGAGGAGTCCACCACACCCCATGCAAAATCCACATATAATTTTTGACTGCCCAAAAACTTACTTGTCCCTAGTATCCAGGGAAATTGGTTTCAGGACCCCCTGTGGGTACCAAACTCCTTGGATGCTCAAGTCCCCTATACAAAATGGTAGACTCATAGATCAGTGTATAAGCAAGTGTTTATTGGGGGAAAATCCATGTATAAGTGGACACACTCAGATCAAACTCATATTATTCAAAGGTCAACTGTAGCATGAAAGTTAGTCATCTGCAAAGCATATGGAATACAGATTCCTTATAGTTTTACAATTTTTCCTCTACTTTTCACAGCAGTTTTGCCCTTAAGTGATTTGGTGACCACTTTTTAGCAAATCAATGTTATCTGTTCTTTTCAAAGAACTAAACTTAGTTTTCATGAAACAACTCTATTTATACTCAATTTTAATCAGTTTAGGTAACATTTAATTAGCAACACAACCAACGTTTGGCCAGCACACAAAAACCCTTCCAGGCATACCAATATCAATAGCTAACATTTAACGGGTGTTTACCAGGAAACCCTGTTCTAAGCCTTTTACATGTATTAACTTATTTAATGTTCATAATAACCCTGGAAGGTAGATATGTCAATAATTCTTTATTTACCACAAACATGATATTGTAACTTCATGTCTTATCAGGAGATATCTAATGTCAGGTTGCCCACTATTCATTATAAGCCTGATCATTAAGTTCAAATGGTGACTGTCAGATCTCCAAATTGTAAATGTATACTTTGGCCCTTGGAATCAACAGTAATCTGTGAGGTGATTTTTTCACACTCTTGGATTAGCCTGTTCTCCAATGGCCTTTCACCTCGTGTTTTAGTAGTCATTTACTGGATATTGAAAAAACATGATGTTTCTTATTTTATCATGTCTTTTACAATTATTGGCTGATATTTTTAGGTATTGTGATGGACTCATGGATCTTTTTTATTTAATATGTTATAATCCTTTACAGTCATTTCCCATTATGTTCAAATTATACAAATATGGTTGGGGGAGCCCACAGAAATTTCTTGCAGGTGTAACTGCTCCAGATTTAGACCTTGCCTAGATCAAATGGTGAGGATGAAATAATACACAATTTACAGAGATAGAGACTCTCTTCACAGGGTTCTGATTTTACTCTAACTGAGGAAACCATTTTTTTACATCTAAGCTCTGTGAAATCAAGAATTGGATCTGTCTTGATCAGTGTGCAGCACATGGTAAGTAATAAAAAATAGCCTTTGAGTGAAAAATTAATTAAGACTTTAAAAACGGAGAGTGAAGAAGTCAAGGCATATAGGTAGGGAGACCAAATATAGGTATTTGACTAAACGTTACTTTCCTCTCTTATACTGTTTTAAGAAAGTCCTTTGAGGATGATTGTCCGAGTTATATACAAGTACTTGACTTGAGGAACATCTTTGTAGAAAAAGGTAACTGGGGAATTGGGTCATAGCTCCTTGACTGTGCTTGGAGTGAGATGATCCTGCTGTACGGACCAGAAAACCCCAATTCTCCAGCAACTGAATGTCAAACATTTACTGCATACTTTCTTCCACAATGGTGCCATGAAGAGTTAACTTATAACAAACACGATTCAGGATTTTCTCTTCTCTTTGACCAAAGGATGATAGTTCACAATTGTCCTCATTTTCCAGGAGACAAGATCATCTGGTTTAGTTGTAAATTTAATTATCCTGAAAAGGAAGGTATGAAAATGATATTGTGTTTAAAAAGTGCAATACTTGTACACTGAAAACTATAAGACAGTGTCAAAAAAAATCAAAGAACCTTCTAAGGAACTGAATGGATGGGAGAAGTGGATGGAGATAATCTCAGAGACACAGAGGAAGAACTGAGGGTTGTTAGTTGGGAGGGGGTGGGGATGAAGGAGAAGGGGAAGGGATGAGACAATACAATATGGTAATTGCAATATGGCCTCAGGAATAGGAAAAGACAGTCTGAGGAATATAATCAGTAATGTTGTAAATATTTCTTAGGGGGCCAGATGGACTCATGTCCTGTTGGGGAGACCACTTCATAGTCGGTGTAGAGGCCTGACCACCGCACTGTATTTCTGAAACTGATGTTGAATAAGATTGTATGTCAACTATAATTATATATACATTTAGTCTCGGGACATGGAATAGAGAGGGGGAATGGAATCAATGGAATTGTAATAGATAAGCATGATATCGGGGTGGGAGGGCAATACATGGGGGGAGAGGGGTTGTTACTCTGTGAGGGTGAAAAGGATAACTATTGCATTGTTCTGTACACCTGAAACTAACAATAAAAAAAATCAAAGAACCTAAATAAATGGTGAAAAAATATCACATGTTCATGAATCAGAAGACTTAATACAATTAAGATGGCAGTACCTCCTCACTGTTCTACAGATTCAACACAATCCTTATCTATATCTCGGTTAAATTTTTCTCAGAAGCTGACAAACATAACTTAAAATTTATATAGGAGTTCAAAGGGTCCAGTATAGCTGAAACTATCTTGAAACAGAAGAACATATTTGGAAAGTCAATTCCCTAATTTTAAACTTGCTACAAAACTACAGTAATCAACATACAATAGATAATGGAAGAGAGACAAGGGTAGAGAAATAAACCTTTATATTTATGGTGAATTAATTTTCACAAGGATGTCAAGACAATTCATTGGGGCAAAGAATAACCTTTTCAATAAATAATGACAGGACAACTGGATATCTAGATATAAAAGAATGTGCACCTCACACCCTATTAAAAACTTTAAACCATATTAAAAAATTAATCCCAATTAAATCATATACCTAAATGCAATAATAAAACTATAAAAGTCTTCAAAAAACCATACATGTAAATCTCTGTGACCTTGGGTTACACAATTTTTTAAAAATATGATACCCAAAGCACAAGTGAACAAAAAAATAGATAAATTAGACTTCATCAAAATTAAAAACTTTTGTGCATCAATGGACACTATCAAGAGAGTGAAAAGTCAATCAACAGAATGAGAGAAAGAAAAACTTAAAATCATATATCTGATAAGGGTCTAATGTCCAGAACATATACAAAATGTTTACAAATTATCAATAAAAGATAAATGACTCGTTTAAAAGTAGGGAAAGGATTTGAATAGATATTCCTCAAAGGTATGCAAAAGGCTAATAACCACATGAAAATGTGCTCAACATCATTAGATATTAGGGAAATGAAAACCAAAATCATAATGAAAACCCACTTCACACTCACTAAAGTATAAGAAAGAAAAACAACAACAAGTTTTGGTGAAGGTGAGGGGGAAATTAGAACCCTTATATATTTTGATCTTGCTCCTAGTGGAATTGGGGAATGACTGGGGGTGGGCGAGGCGGTTCCAAGGTGGTGCATAATCGAATACTTGTTTTGAGAAAATAACTGAATTTTATGTGAAAAACTATTGGAGGAGGGAGAAGAGTAGATGGGAGAGACCAGTTAGGAGGATATTAAAATCCAGTCAAGGGAAGATGAAGGTTAAGTTAGGGAGAAGGTGATAGAGATGGCATCAACAAGACCTATTTTTGAGCTACTGGGGAAGAAATACTAGCATGATTTAGCAATGGATTGCTTTGAAGTGTAACAAGGTAGGGAAGAGGATAATGTCAATGATGATACAGGTCCTGACTGGAGCAACAATGGATGGAGATGCCACTCAAAGAGATGAGAAACCCTGAATAGAATTAAGTTGGTAAAAAAAGAAATGGTAAGTTCTTTTATGGCCATGTTGGGCTGCTTCTGAGATATCTAAGTAGAGGTATCAAGTAGGCAGTTGGTAATAGTGGCCTGGGGCTCATAGGTAATTCAGGTCTAGAAAAAAGTTTTTTCCATCATTTCCTTTGGCAGGACACATTGAGTCCATGTAGACAAGATTGTCTATGAAGATCTTATAATGTGAGAATATAAGTGTTTCTAGAACAAAGCCAGGTAGAGTAGATGAAAGCTATAGAAGATGAAGGAAGGTCATCAAGGATAGGAATTATTACAGAGGGTATTGACATAGAAGCCAGGGACACAAGCAGAGTATTTCAAAATGGAGAAAGTAACCACATCTTCCAATCCTGCAAAGAGGACAACAAGATATTTATTTCATCTAGTGATATGAAGGTCATTGGAGGCTTAAGATAAAGGTGTTTTGGTAGAATGATAGAAGCAAAAGTCGTTTTTGAGTGTGAAGAGGAAGAAGAGGGAAGGATCAAATGTATTATATAACATTAATAAATTTTATTAAAAGGTAAGACCGCAAGGTCCAGAGAGACTGTATGAGCAATAATGTAAAGTTATTGAGAAGTCAAGAGTGTTAGGAACCAAAATGCAATGGAGGGATTAGCCTTAAAAAGTCAGAAGTACATTTTGGTAACAAGATGGGATGAGGAGAGAATGAAACAAATGCCAAATGCCTAGTGTTTTGAGAGCACAAAGCTAACTTTGTTTCATCCTAATGACTCAGTTTTCTATGGAAGAAGCTGGTAGGAACATCTGCTGGGAAGAAGAAAGAGTTAGAAGAATGTGACTTCTGAGGGGAGGAGAATTTGGGAAGGAGCTGTTGCAGAGGGTGGACAAGGGATGAGAAAAAATGCATAAGGCTTGCCAGGCAGGGCTCATGAAAGCTGGGAGGAGGAATGAAGTGTCTGAAGACTTTGCACAATTCATATAGATCTCTTGAGCCTCACTTTCTTCACCTATCAAATGGAAACATAATACTTACCTCCAAGTGCTGATGTGAATGAAAAGTATGAGAAAAGTTTTTATAAACCAGAACATACATGGCTTGGTAGGAGTCACATTGCCAGGATCTCTCCTAAGCTTCTGTGAGTCTCCTTCCTAGTTTTGCATTATTTGTATGTGTTGAAAATATAAGGAACAATTGTAGATGCTTGCATAAGTCTCAAATCTAACCTAATACTTATTTCACTAACTTTTAAAATGATATATACCAATGTATCTATTGTATCTATTGTTCTTTCTATAGAGGGGTAGCATGGGATGACTTGGGATAAAGGATGGTGCTGTGACTCCGAGAACAGTGAGCATCATTGTTCCAGATCTTTAATTCCTGCTTGTTGAGCTGACCATAGCCTGCCTCTCTCTCTCTCTCTCTCTCTCTCTCTCTCTCTCTCTCTCTCTCTCTCTCTCTCTGCCCCACCCTCCTTCCCTCCCTCTCCCCTTCTCTCCTTCCTTATGAGGAAGTGCTTTGTATCCTCTCACCAAGTAAAATTAAAAACCACATGCACCATGTTGCACAAAGATGGTGCTCTGCATGTGTGGGGAATGAGAAGATAGTCACACGTAAGGGTCAGGTGAGCATAGAAACACAGTGAATGAAAGTAGGCAAGACCTTCTTTCATGACAGGGAAATGCCTAGATTTAGTCCAGAAGTCAATCCAGTGGGCATCACCTACGATATACCCAGGTTATCCAGTGTGATCGGCACAAGCTACTCAGTGGATCGATAAGTGAAGTGCTCTGGGAGCTATGAGTGATCTTACTGTGCAGGGTTTGGAGTCATCAGACATGGCCCTGCTGGAGAGGGTGTACGTCTCAGACTTGGTTTTGGTTTTCTTGACCCCTTTCAACCATTTCTTGTATTGCTCCCGGACCTGCAGAGGCAAAGCACGCTGAGTCAGCTCACTGAGAGGAGTGAGGAGGGAAAGAGTCCTGAGTGGGAGTCGGACAGTGGTACCTGCTGGCTAAGGATGCAGTACACCAGGAAGATGAAGACGCCCTGCAGACTGTTGATGATGGTGAAGAAGTAGGCCATGGTGCGGGCAGCTGAGCCCACCTGAAAGATGCCCAGACACCATGTGCAGCCCAAGATGAAGAGCTGAGCTGTCGCTTTAAATGTCAGCATCCTAGATAAGAGGAGAAGGGGGCATGTGGTACACCCAGAACAAGAGAATCAAGGCCATTTTCATCTCCACTCTATGGACGCCTCTGACTAAGTAGTGATCAACTTTGGTCTTTACTCTCAATGATGCCCTCAACAGAAATGATATTTAGGACCATGTTGGCATTTTGACTTGGACTGAGGATGGTAGTGACACTCCATGATGTGGATTTCAAAAATATCACGATGTTTCATAACTGTCCCTAATTTCATTCAACTGACACTTCTGAGGACCATCTGTGTACCTGACTCTGTGCTGGGTCCTGGGCATTAAAAATAACAAAGACAAGATTTCTGTTTTCATAGACCTTATAGTCCAGTGGAAAGGCTAAAACAAATGGTCTTTTATAACATGTGTGAGGTACCTCTGCTTGGGTCCCATCCTGTATTGTTCCCATCTTCTCACTCTCTATGAACTGACCCAAGGCATGTTTTGCCCAAAACAGAGGCCATTCATTCTGTGGAAAGTTGAGGGAAGCAAAGGACGTCCCTAGTCTATTAAGAGACGTGATACCTGGATGAGGCATCTGATTCCACCAGGTGGAGGAGTGGAGAGGGCAAAGGGAAGAGCATCCATGAGGGTGTGAGTGTGAATGGGCTCTGGGGACGCTGATGCGATTGCCTAAGAATGTTATAAAGATGTAAATGTTTTTAAAAACTTTTTCATAGGACCATGGAAGTAATTTCTCTTTATCAAGACAATGTCAATTCTCTCTGAAGCTGAGGTAGTTTCATGCTGGGGTTATGCAGGAATGAAATGTTTCTGGCTTGGGTGTCAGCAGCCAACCACAGTATCTGAGCTGGTTTCCAGGGAGGGCGGCTGCACCTCTCTCCTCCAGCCCCATCAGAATCCCTGTGAAAGGACATCAGGAGCTTGGAACCGTGTGGCCTTGCTCCTGGACCATGCCTTGTAGGGGGCAGTGTGCCCCTCTGACCCATCTCACCTCGTGTTCTGGAGGGTGGACACATCACTGTTGAGTGAGGAGAGCTTGTTTTTCAGAATCCAGAAGGTCATCAGAAAGAAAGCCAAGTTAATCTGCAGAAACCCCACAGGCTTACTGAATACATTCCACATCTTAAACCTTAGTCCTAACTCATTCAACACCTGAACTACTGGTAAGAAACTTTCGTATTTCATATCAGTCATAGAAAAACAGACCAAACCTCCAGTAACCCAAGCACCTTCTTATCCTGTAACGGGTGACCAAATCGTCCCAGTTTGCATGGGAGTTTCCAAGTTTTAGCACTGAACACCCAACATCTCAGGAAACATCTTCAGTCCTCCTTTAAAACTGAAATTGTCCCTCTTGGGCGCCCCCTCAGTCCTTAGCAGACTGGAACAATTGCTCTCCCTGCATGTAGCCCTCCTTATACACCTGCTCTGACTGACCCCCAGCCGGGCAGGAAGGATGCTCTGATGTCACCCGTTACTCACAGAGAAGATGGTGCAGACGGGGCCAAGGAAAGCCCATATAAATCCTTCGTGTGTATGGAGCCAGCATCTAAGAGAGATGGAAAGAAACTGAAGAGTGTGTTTGCCTTTGTGGATAAAGAATCAATAAATAAACTTATACCTCACCTCCCATATTTCCTCCTCCCTCCTTTATTATTAATGTTATTATTATTGCTTTGTTTTGTAAGAACATTTAACATAAGATCTACTCCCTTAGTAAATTACAAGTATCCAATACAATTTTGTTAATTACAGGTACTATACTCTATAGATTGCCCTACTTATTTATCTTTCATAATTGCCTCTTTGTATATACTGTTGATGGTGGTGACAGTTTCACAGGTTTTTATTTATCACCAAACTCATCAGATTGTATACATCAAATATGTACAGCTTTTTACATGTCAGTCTCACCTTAATAAAGTAGTTTTTAAAAAGATAAATTCATTTTTAAAAACACTTTTGTCTTGGCCCCCAGATATGCTGCCATATTTTTTTTTCTTTAAGATTTTATTGAGGAGTTGAGGGAGGGGAACAGCGCTGGGGAGTTAGGGGAAGGGGAACAGACAAGTTGCTGTCCTTTTGTTCTTCAGTCTAGTTGTGGAGGATGTCACTTCACTGGCTCATGTTGGTATCATCATTGCACTCTTCCCGGGTGAGGCAGATCGGTCACCTGCCTCTGGACAGCCGCTCACAGTGGCTTTTGGCAGCTCACACCAGCTGCCAGTCACTCACGCTGGCTGCCACCCACTCACGGTAGCTTATGGCAGCTCACTGCAGCAGGGGCTGCAGCCTACGTCGTCGCCGGTGACTCACGGCAGCCCAGCTCCAGGTCGAGCTGTTGTTCACCATCTTCGCTATAGAGGCCAGTGTCACTGGCCCTCATGTGGGATCTGAACCCGGGCCCTGCTGCTCAGAGCTGACGTCCCAAGCCAGCTCTTAACCAACGCGCCACTTGGCTGGCCCCCAAAAATATATTTTTTAAAAGAAAGAAACAAGGGGCAGTCAGGTAGTTCAGTTGGTTAGAGCACAAGCTCTGAGCAACAGGGTTGCCGACTCAATTCCCACACGGGCCAGTGAGCTGTGCCCTCTGCAACTAGATTGAAAACAACGACTTGAGCTGAGCTGCTGCTGAGCTGCCAGTGGGCGGCCAGATGGCTCAGTTGATTAGAGCTCTTCCTCTTAACAACAAGGTTGCCAGTTCAACTCCCACATGGGATGGTGGGCTGCGCCCCCCACAAATAGATTGAAAATGGTGACTAGACTTGGACCTGAGCTGTGCCCTCCACAACTAAGACTGAAGGACAACTACTTGACTTGGAGCTGATGGGTCCTGAGAAAAACACACTGTTCCCCAATAAAGTTAAAAAGAAAAAACAAGAGTTGATAAATTAATTTATGGTTTATTGGACAAATATTGAGAGTCTATTCTGTGTCAGTATCTGTGTTTGGACTGAAAACCCAATTTTGATTAAGATAGGCTGGTTTCAGTCCTAAGGAAGTTCCCACATAGGTGGGAAGGTCACCACCAGACAATAGAAACAATCAAGGTGATGGGTTTTATGATCAAGTATGAGGAGCTATGAGAACATGTAGCTGGATCCACAGCCTCGTCTGGGGTACAGGAGGTTCAGACCGTTGGGAAGGATTCCCTGAGGAAACTGATTGTGTTTATGCTGACACACAAAGGATGAGCAGGTGTGGAAAAGGTGAAAAATATTGGGATACACAAAAGGATAGTAAAAAGAGGGGGAAAAGGAACCGTAACCTGACACAGTAGTAAGGCAAGTTTCATGTGCATTACATAAACCCTTTCTCTTGACAACATAGGGACTCAAATGATCACAAGTCAGGAACCTGAGGCTTAAGGAGACAGGTTCTAACACAAGGCCACACTGATAGAAATGACAGAATTGGAACTTGCACCTAAGTGAGGGGCTTGTCAGTGAGGTGGGAGGTGGGAAACCTTGGAGAGAGTTAGATGGATCCACCAGAAAATTCAGAGAAAGCTACTAAAGCAGTGTGGAAAATAGTAGCGTGGGGGCCAGGTTGGGCCACCACCTGATTCTGTAAGTGGGTTTTACTGGAACACGGTTACACGCATTCCCTTCCACATTGGCTGTGGCTGTTCTTGTGCTACAAGGACGAAGGTGAGCAGTTGCAACAGAGACCATGCAGTCTACAAACTGCAATATTTACTATGTGGCCCTTTACAGATAAAGTTGCTGACATTATGCTAAGCAACCTAGGAAGGCCAGCTGGCCAGGGCTCATCCAATGCAGGTGAGAATTAATTTTATCAGCATAGGAGAATGTTGGAACACCAGACTGTGGATTTGATCCCAGCTCTGTCACCAACCAGCTGTGTAATATTGGCCATGTCGATAATAATTTCTGTGCCTCAGTTTCCTCATCGGTAAAAATCCCATTTTATTAGTTTCTACCTCATAAGGTTGTTGGGAAGGTGATTTGAGCTGATACATAAAATATTTAGAACAGTGATTGCACATCAGAATTGATTTCTAAATCTTAGCTCTGTTCATAACAATTTCATCAACTATAATCATTCTTTTTTTTTAATTAGGAAGGATATAGGTTATACAAACCAATGCCATCCGTGTATTTCTATTATCCTTTCTAGAAGGTTTAGAAAAGCCCACTCAATTAATTCAATGAATATCATATTAATATACATTTACTAATATATAAAATACAATTAGGGCCAGCCGAGTGGCACGTTGGTTAAGAGCTGGCTTGTGACACCAGCTCTGAGCAGCAGGGCCCCAGTTCAGATCCCACATGAAGGCCAGTGACACTGTCCTCTACAGCTAAGATGGCGTTCGACCTGGAGCTGGGCTGCCGTGAGTCGCGGGCGATCGCGTAGGCTGCAGCCCCTGCTGCAGTGAGTTGCCATAAGCTACCGTGAGTGGCCAGCAGCCAGCGTGAGCTGCCAAGAGCCGCTGTGAGCGGCCGTCCAGAGGCCGGCAACCCATCTGCCTCACCCGGGAAGAGCACAATGATGGTGCCAACTTGGGCCAGTGAAGCGACGTCCTCCACAACTAGACTGAAGAACAAAAGGACAGCAACTTGTCTGNCTTGGGCCAGTGAAGCGACGTCCTCCACAACTAGACTGAAGAACAAAAGGACAGCAACTTGTCTGATCCCCTTCCCCAATTCCCCAACGCTGTTCCCCTCCCCCAATTCCCTAATAAAATCTTTTTAAAAATAAAATACAATTAATATTACATATCATAGTTGTTAATATAATAGTCAATAATATAATATACAATTAATATTTTAAATAATTAAATCTAAAAGACCAAAATTCAGCTAATTTATTTTAACTATATATTAATTTATGATTATTAATGTTTCATGAATATATTCGTGTAGAGTTAATAATATAATATACAATTAATATTAATAGTATATAAATATATAATTATTAATGTACTATATAATTAATATTAGAAAAAATTACATCTTAAAGACTAAAAATCAGCCACTTCAAGGAATGCAATGGTGAAACCAGGAAGACGTCTTTGGAGTGATTACTGAGTGTTTCTCTGTTCATCATATTCTCGTGAAATTAAAGTGCTATGTTAGTTCTTTGCTGGCCATGGTTATGTAGAGACATGACAGTGGGAATTTGCGCTTACCGGGTGGGCGTTCCATAAAGGTGAGGCCTGGAAGCTGCCGAAATGGCCACAATCACAGCCGGGACTCCGTAGCCCACAGGGAGCATGAACTTCTTCATGAACCTGCTCACGCTGGAGTAGTTGACAACCATCAGGTTGCGTGCGGTGAGGAAGAGGTGCAGGCCCTCCAGCAGCATCCAGGTGAAGGAGGCCAGGTAGAGGTAGTGTAAGGCACCCGCGACGATGGCGCACAGCACCTGGGGGAGAGTGAGAGTCACCGGGGGGAGTCAGAGGGGAGCGTGGGCTCAGGACCTCTCCTACACCTTGCCATTGGGGAGAACTCTGATGTATGTGAAGAGGTTGTTAGAAGAGAGTTTGTCTTCTAGTTGCATCACTCAGTGTGAAAGTGGCTACTCACCCCTCTAACCTTCCCGCAACCCAAGACCATTTTATTAAGGTGTGGATGCAGCATGGGCCCATGAGCTCTGCATCCCCTGGGCAGGGCAGGGGGTCCTTTGGGACAGTGTCAGTACCTCGGGCTCAGTTCTGTCGATGGCCGTGAGGAAGAGCAGGTGAGCCAGGAAGAGGCAGAGCGAGAGCTGCAGGTGGAGAGAGGTGCTGGTGTTCTGGATGGCTTTGCACAGCAGGAAGGTGAGAGCCGCCAGGAGGAGGCACAGCAGAGACAGGCTCAGCCCCACATAGGTGATCACAGCCAGGGCGGGGTCCTCCTCCTGGGACACAGAGAAGAGAGATCACAGTCACACTTTCCTGCTCTGGGGTAATGACTCTTACACCCTCTTTAGCTTTATTTTCAGTTGTAACAAAACCAGGAAAGGAGGAGCCAGGTAAATTTGTGATGTTAATGGGTAATGTTAGAATTTTCTGAGGTCCTGAACTGATTTATTCAGATCGTGGGAGAATTAAGAGATAAGAGGGTCCTTACTGAAGACCAAGCCCTGGAACTCATCGGGTTTATTTTCCTTTAGACTTTTGGGCATGACTAAGCTTATAGGTCACCATGTGAGGGTCATGGAGGCACAAATCTCAGGGTTAAGTACCATCCTTTGTTCTCATTACCTGATGCTGTGTGACAAAGTCTGTACCTGGAGACTCGATGTCCTGATATCAACCCCCCACCCCAGACTCCACTCACCTCATCCCTGCAACACCTGTTCCTTGCTGGTCACTAATCCTTACAGATTTAGAAGTGGATCCTGGGTTAAAGGAGGAAAACCACTACACTCTGATGATGGTGGTAGCTTAAAATTCTTATTTCCTGCCTCTTTTGTAAATATTAAAATTTATTTTTCTTGCCTATGTTTACAAATCATCTTAAATCCATGAGGGGAATGAAAAAAAAACCCCAACAATTTTATTTAAGGGTAAGCAGGCAAGAGAGAGAGGGAAGTAGAGGGAGAAAAAAAGAAATGTGAAAATGAAAAAAAATTGAGGGTTAAAATATTCAAAGTTGGTGCATCTGTTTAAAAACAAATATGGTAATATTTAAACTATTTTTATTTTTGCAATAAATTTGTAAGATTGAAGTTGTTTCCTAAACAATTGTTTACAAATAAATAGCAAGCCCTCTGGGTGATTTTGATGCACACTACTTTTTGAGAATTTTTGGTGTAAGGAAAAAAATCTAATTCCTCTACCTCACAGAGAGCTCACAGAATAATAATAATACATCAATAAGGCAAAGAAAAATGAGCCAAGATGTGAACAACTTGTTTCCAGAGACAGAAATATAAATCACTTTTAAATAAAGATGTTCCATTTTACCCACGATAAAAAAAAAAACTAAAAATTATCCTAGATAACCCATCCTATATATCTACTTGTCAGATGGGTAAAGATCCAAAAATTGTATAATAATCTTGCAGTGAGGGTGTGAGGAATCATACACTTCCATGTAATACTGGTGAGAGTGTTCACAAGTATGACTTCTAAATGTTGAAATATGTAAATATCTACTAAATTACAATTATGTATTTGACCCAGTATATCTCCTAACTAAATACTCAAACACAAGAATAATGAACTGTGTGTAAATTGTTACAACTTTATTTGTATTAGGAAGTGATCATGAAACAAAATGCCAACTATGAGAAGACTCGATATGCAATTTATGGTGCATTCACACAGTGAAATGCAGTGCAGCAATAAAAATAATAGAGACCCCAAATAGCCACGACAATCTTGAAAAATAAGAACAAAGTGGGAGGTATCATTTAAATGTGGAATCTAAAAAACTGAATGAATGAGCAAAGTAAACAGAAATAGTCTCAGAGATATAGAGGAACAATTGATGGTTGCTAATTGGGAGAGGAGTGGGGATGAGGGAGAAGGGGAAGGGATTAGACAGCATAAATAGGTAACTACAATATTGCCAAAGGGATATGAAAGACAGTTTGGGGAATATAATTAATAATGTTGTAAATA